CTTTGACTTGAAAGTTTGTCACTATAGGCCCGCTTTGGGGAATGCCGCAGCAACATGTGGGGCCTGTAGCCGGGCTGTGGAAACTCCTCACAGATTGCAGAAGGCTTTCTTCGAGAAATACACACCAGCCAAAACAACCGAGCATCCTTCCTATGCAGAGGCAAAGCACGTTCGCCCACCTAGCCTGGTCCTGGTGGGCTGCAAATGAATCCTAGGCCTGAAAACTCTGAAGACCCCATGAGATTCTTGACCAACCCCAAACAGCACTGCGAAACCTCTGGTAAACGTCCAGGATGTCCTGCAGGAGTTGCAGCACGCAATCTGATTCCAAGCTTCAGGCTTCAAGGACCTACTGGCTGCTGGCCATTTGTCGTTGGAAGTGTTGGCAGTCCTACTAACCGGCAGCCATTCATGAGCTATCCTGAGACGGAAGCAAACAAGGGGGGTGTTGACATAACATCATCACGGTTTTTGAACTAGAGCTGCACTCGAGGCTGGTCTTGCTTTCAGACGTGGGGATGATTGCATAGCGGCGGGAGCCGCGTGTCCTCGAAGAGATCTGACTTGCCAGTTGAGGCATGTCTTCCGCCTCTGGTGTGGCTATGTGAGCTGCTTGTAAGTTTGCTGCAATGTTCTATACTTTGAAAAGCCTTTGTCGTTATACGACTTCATCGAAATTGTGTGCCCATATAAGTTCAAGTGCCGTTGAGAGGTCCTGCAAGTCGGACAGCAAGAGGTCAAGGACACGTGATCTTCATGTATCTGTCTGGGGTATCTAATACTTTGAGTGGACGTAATAGCCGTCTTTGGCAGGTGCCCGGCTGCACAACGCATATATGCGGAGAGCCCCTACCATGCAACTGCATCATCTGCATCAGCCATCTACCAAAAAGTTGCAGTGTCATATCTGAAGACAGTTATCTCCTTGCGTGCCCCCTTTGAAGGGTGGAGTCCCTGCTAAGAGCAGAGTGAAGGGACCATGATCTAGCGACAGTCTGCGAATCCGGAAGCCGCTTTGTAGCCCGCGCATGGAGGGGAGGCTGCTTGGACATTAAAACAGCAATGCGTGGCGATGATGGAACGCACAAAAACAAGAACAGCAGTAGAACAGAAACGGCAACTGTAAAACACTACTTGGAAGGACGGGGATTCCAACCATACTCTTTGACAGCCGTAATGCATAGGCTAGTCTCACATCCTGGGCCATTCTTTGGTAACAGCTATCACACAGCATCGCCTGCTGAAGCGCCTGCTCCCTACACAGCGAGATGCACACAAACCATCTTCCGAGCCCACATCGCCTGTGTCACTTCTGTGCAGAGCCTCTTACTATACCTTCAATGACGATAGTATGTTCATGTCTGCACAGATGTTCACTACTGCCATTCTAGCCATCTCGCCCTCCCAACCTGGCTCGGCAAGTCGAATTGCATCTGGTGCCGGAGGCCTGCAATTCTGTCATTCCTTCATCTCATGAGCAGAACTAGTACATGCCGTCATCATAATCCGTATCCTTTTCATCATCATCGTCGTCGTAATAGTAATAGTAGCACAGCAGCTGCAGCAGCAATCGTCGTCGTAGCCTCTTATCGAATACCCTCCCCTGCTTGCACGTGCTGCGCCCCGTGAAATCCTTACGTCTGTGAAGCTCGAGCGGCTATGCAATTTCTTGAAGCGTAGGGGATGCAGGGAGGTGCAGGACAGGGGTAGGGGGAGGTGCGGGGGGTGCGGTATGGGCGCAAAGCGTGTCAAGGACCATTCCAAGCGTGCACATGCAACAACTACTGGTAGTTACAGCTTTTGTGATAGCGCTTGTCTGTGCGCGTGAGGCACCTTCCGCGAGATCAGGAACTTGGCCCCTTAGTTTGGAAGCCTGAGAATTACTAAAGGCGGCAAAGCTAGGGAACCTTCAAGAAGCCCAGAAACTTGACATCAAAGAAGGTACTCCCATCAAAGCCAGTGCAACATTAATCCCTACATCAGCCGCAACGTGTTTTTGCTGCCAAAACACGACTGTCGCGCAACTTCCTGGCCTCTGCACACAGATATATACAAAGAATGCAAAAGAACATGGAAGCTACAATATTAGTTTCGGGTTCAGCGTGTAGGGCTGATAGGAATCATGTAGGGCGGTTGTTTCTGATTAGGTGAGGGGATTATATGCGCAAATGATTGTCCCAATTGCGGATGCAACTCTGCGGAAGTGATATTGAATTCTGGCACATTCCCACAAACTTATATGGAGAATTCTCACAGAGCCTTGGGAGGGTGGTAGATGGTAAGCAATATCTGCACCAGAATAAAAAGCCAAGAAGGTTCAGAATTGTACATTATTCTGCATTAGCAATCTCCAGGTTCCATGCTATAACTTAGGAATCTGTGCGATGGCCCTAGCTAGGATGTTTCCAAAACATGGCGCATCCTGCCTTGCGTGCCTCAACAAAAGACCTTTCTGGTTTAGGGTTTGGCGTGATGCCTTTCCCAAGATGCGGCACGCAGAGATTGCTATGCCTGCAAACTAGGTCACACTTTACATTAGGAGAAAAGATTTCCCGGAACAAAATCCAGCAAACTGCATCAAAGTTACCACGCATCTGCCGAGCAAGCTGGGCCCACAGGCTTCTATTGCTCAACTGGATTGTGGGCTCAGAGTCTGTGCCTAAGAAAAACAATAGATTCTGTCCCTCGTAGGTCCTCCTGCTGTAGAGGTCTTCTCCGCTTTACGGACCCAAAAAACTCACTGCTGTGTTTGGCAAACCCCATATGCTTCCATAGCCATATCCATATACACCTAAAGCAGGAGCAATAACTATTACAATCACCGGACTTTTGCTGGTAGGCATAAGCGGTGTAGTGGTGCGGTGCTGTCTCTGTTGAAGATCATTGCTGCCAGTATTTCTTGTGGGAGTGAATTGAACATTATGTAGGAAGGAGCTTGAAGAACAAGTTCACCATGGCCTCCAAACTACTCAGGCTCCTGCACCAAGTCATTACATGTTTACAAAGGCTTGTGCCTCAAACGCCGGCGAGATACATCAATATTCGCATGCACCGGAGCGAGTAGCAAACATTCTGGCCGAATTGCGGCATACAAGCGTCTTGTCTCCCAAGTTCCGGAAGGCCTTCTAAAGATGCAAGCAAACCACACATGCCAGCATCCCCGATCCAATCCCGTCTTGCATGGCATCCGGAATGATCACAATATACTGTATACTATGATATGAAAATATGTATGTTTGACATTTGGAGGTTGGGGGGCTTCAATACTGGGAGCGGGGAGTTCCTTCCAGCAGGGGCTGCTACCCAGAATGACGCAGGAAAGGCAGAGGAGGCATGGGCCATCTGGAGAATGAAGGAACAGAAAATGCCAACCACGATATTCTGGGGATTAGATAGGGGCTACTAGAGGGATCCATGCCTCCATTCCCTACTAACAACCAGTAAGAAGAAGTACAAGAAGGTATCCTGGGGATCCTGTAGCAACTCTAGGTTGGAACCAAAACAGCGATGACCAAGCATGGCGAAGTTGCCCGCTTGAGGACACTCATGGCCTCTATACCTCAAGGTGTGGGAATCACCTACCCCAATAGCCCCCCTGAAGGGTTTCTTCCAATTGGCCCAGCAAGCCTTGGTTGACCTCAGGGTGAATCTGGAGCTGGTGTACCCTCCCCCAAACTGCTATGGAACCACATTGCCCTATAAAGGCTACACTACTTCTGCAAAGGACTGTGTCCGGTTCCAGTTTCCAGGTTAGTCTGGAGAGGATCCTGGTTTCAGTGGAGGGGTAACTGTCGTTTTGACTCAGCCTACATCACAGATTTGATTCGTTGGGGGATGTGTTGCTGGAGCGGTTGCTATTAAAAGGAAAAACCAGCTTGTCATAATGCAATCATCGCCCTAGTTCCTAGTTCTAGCAAAGGTCCCTTTCGAAGTGTCCCGCCTTTCAGGAATGGTTTCTTTCCTGGTGATATCCGAAACGTGCATAAACATGCAAATGTCAAGAACCTCATACCCCCAAAGCTCTCTAACTATGTAGCCACTACATAGCCCAAATAGCCCTTGCTCCCACAATTTTGAGAACCTCCTCCCTAGCAAGGCAAAGAAGATGGTGCAGGGCTCCCTCACAATGCCTTACAGCCAAAGTATTGCTGGGGCCGTTTTAATTTTGGAGGCCTCAACATTCGAGGTGTCGCATTTCGGGATTTCAAACAAGCATCAATGTCTGGACAACACCTAGATGAAGGAGGACGAGTGCTGATGGCTGTACCAGGTATGGTAGGCATGCTTTTCCACGCAAGCGTAGTAACGTGTCGAGTGCCCTGTCGCCACTGCGCGCGTCTGATCTGAGCTGACGTCCTCTGAAAGTGACCACAACGTAGCACAACTGATATCGAAATCCCAACTTATGCCTATGCATAGGGTTCTTGCCATGTCTAGTGCCTGCAGTTTCGCTCAAAAGCACAGACCAGGATGTCCATGCGTCGGCAGCCGTCTCAAATTGCCTCCTGAGGGTCTGGAGTCTAGAGGTGGCGTGGATCGTGGAAAAGCAGCCAGCACTCAAGCACGAAAGGTGCTTCTGAGGCTGCATGGGAACTTGAACCGGAGCAGTGATCCTCATATCACATGAAAAATAATATATATATATATATATATATTTTTTTTGGTATCATGGCAGTTGGACGGTAATTATACACTGTGACAGCACTTTTGAAAAGCACATCTGATCATCGAAATGACCCTCGAGATGCGTATACGAGCCCCCAGTTCTGGGTGGCTCCACTAAAAAGGAACATGATCAAAAGAGAGCATCGGAATGGCTGCAACACTGCCAGTTGGGTCAGCAGTGGAAGTACGCATGGCCCTGCACATCACCCTGGCGACAAGTTGCTGACCCCTGACAACAAACAGCCACCCCGTCCAAAAAGTTGCTGCTAGTCTGCTATGATTGCTTCGAGCTTGGCCCTGCGCAACAAATCAGGTTACAACCTTTTCGGCTCATCTCAAAAAGAAATTCGCTCGCAGTGATCTGCCGATGGAAGCTCAAAAGGCAAGGCTGATGAGGAGTTCACGTTCTCCACCGGAACGTCGTCACCCACTTCGGAGTCACTGTCTGACAGACCCAAACGGCCTAAGCCCTCAGAATCTGACACTGGAGCAGTCGTCGGCCTCATGGTGGGGGACAGTTGCTTGTTCGGGGACTCTCTGCCGCTGCCCTTCGAACTCAAAACTGCCCGGTCTTTGGACTCACGCGACTCTTTGGAGTTGTGGGAGTCCCGGACTGTGCGCAGACTTGCAGGACTCACGGAATTGAGCAACTCTGCGGCGGCTGACCCTGCGCGCCCTGTAGATGTCTTGCCCATCATCAACGACTCCATGGAAGCAACCAAGCGTTTGCCAATCTCCTTCGTCTGCTGCAACAGCATGGCTTCTGCAGCATGAGAGCAGCTGAAGGGCATGGCTATCTTCTTGAAGATTGCCTTGTAAGCATCCACCAGGTAGGGCCCCACGTCGGGCCCAAGACCATCAACTCCTAAGCCCTGTCCCTGTAGTGTGGTGTAGAACTCATGGCCTGGATAGACGAAGCCAGCATCCGCGTTTACTGTAATCATTCGGTTCCAAGCCATACCTTGTCTGAATTCAGCACCTGATGTGGATGACGTAATTGAAGGCTGCTTGGACATCAAGATTTCTGAGCCAGTGCCGTCACCGTCCTTAAGCATGACTCGACTGGCTTCCAGCACCATCCCGGCAAAGACGGGATTGTAGAGGAGGCCCTTGTGCAAGAGCACCTCATCGAAGCTGCAACTGCCACTCAGCACTTGGGCACTGAGCCACTAAGCACTATCTAAAAGCTCTGTGGAGAAGGGTGGAGGATCGGTATGTATGCCCATTCTTCTTCCCCTCATAGTTCCGATTCATCTCTCCTTTCTTCTTGAGGTTCCGTTTACAAATCCCTCGCGCAAGCATAGAGCGGCCTTGGGGACCGCCTGACAATGCCTTGCAATTTAGGAAAGGAGCCTATCGTTCAGGACAGAAAAACCCATCGTGAAAAATCAGCGCGCGTTTACGTAATCCTGGCGAAGGCCCTGTCATGCATCGAAGAGCGGAGCTCTTTGCGTGATGTAACTTGGAGACGGTACCCTAATTGAAATCGCGCTGCACTTTGATGATATTTTGGCAAGTTACGGTTTTTCTTACGGTTTACGGTTTCGGCGCCCGCCCCACCGAACCCAACAAATCCCACTAATTTTGCCAACGTTCTGTTGGGACTTGCCCGCGGTTCCCTAGATTGTGAGTTGATGAAAGACTGCAGATATTTCCTGCGGGCCACGGCAGCTTTGAAGAATGCAACTTCAACCCCCAACCCCAAATGTGGTCGCTTTACACACAGCCAGCAAGCCCACTGAAAACTCAATTACGGCCGTTGATCACGGAAATCTGGCTTTTGGGATACAGACGACAACCGTCCTTCGGTATTCCCAGCAATGTTTAGGGAGACTTGATCAACAATAGTCCTGGCACAACCAAACAGTCCGCATGGGGCAGCGCTTGGCTGAACTCTTCTCTGGTGCGTGGCCCGGTGACCCTCTCCTTCACAGGGCAAGCGGGAGCAGGGAACTAGGACGGTTTAAGATAGTATGTCACTACATGGCCGCCCGTTCAACGACAGATGCCGTCTGTGAAAGGAGCCATTCACCTTGAGTTCTTGCCCTCAAACTCTTGGCATCCCCGGGCTATGCTTGCGGAATGCCAGGGGCATCCCATGGGTCCGAAGCAACCACTTAGAACACTGCATCTTGATTGGGCCGTTAACATTGAAATCTAAATGATCAGCCTAAGCGGCTAGCTTGTTTGCGTCATCATGCGCTATAAGTTCAGGCAAGCACTACAAGGCCTTCATGGTTTTCGTGCCGTGCAGCAGGAGTGTATGAGTCCTTTGTGTAGCTCGGTGAGCGATTGGCACGGAAATTTGTACTCCCAGGCCATGCAAGTAAAGATGAGGCCTGACTGAGGGTCACGCAGTAACAGTGGCATTGCTGCAAGTACAATAGAAAGCTAGGGACCCCAATGCGATAACCGTTATCCTTTACGGTCACCATTAATTTGTGGGTGGGGCCTAGTCCAACTTATTCCCTGCAGCTGCCGCCAGAATGACTCTCAATCCCAGAAAGCAACCTGACTCTAACATATCCAAAGCGCAGGTGTTCTTGTTATATTCTGTGGCAGTATCCAATTTCTAGGGTGTAGGGATTGCAGTTCTAGGTCCGGAGTACGTAGGCGAACCGAGCCGTACGCAGTCTGTAGTTGAATTTGACAAGTCGTCAGGCACAACAAAACTACCAAACCAGCGTGTGACCATTTTCTTTGAAGAAACTGGAGCATCCGAGCCCGAACGATCTCTAAGGCCTGGGGTCCCAACAGGTCCCAAGTTTGAAAACCCAAATCTCCTGCAGAATACGCTGCAGGTGGATCTGCAACACCATGCTGGCGGACATTGCTTCAACGTCCTCGCGGCCGTGGCGCTTACGAGTTCTCCCCTAGTCATCCCGCAAGGACACCCACCACAAGTGGCGGTTACAAGTTGGCTTATCCCCCCACCCAGTGACAGTCCATAACAGGGTACTACTAAGGGCTTAATTCAGGCATATTGTAGTTCATGCTCAGCTATTCTTGAGTGGGGCGGTCTCCACGTCATTGATTAGTTGAGCTTGAGCATGAAGATTCACTTCTGAGGCTCAGCTTTGAGTGAGATTTCTGCCGTAGAGGCTGAGACTCCAAGGGCGTTGCGTAGGTCTTATCATTACGGTACGAGTGCCTCACTCAATCCCGATCTGGATCTCGCTCTCAAGCAGACAAGAATGATTTTGAGAAGCTGTGCGTTCTAGACCAATAGCGAGATCTAAAGCACGTCTTCCTCCTAAGCCGTATAACTGCGCATCCTCAATCTTATTGGTTCGGCAATTTTTATTTTTGGGTCCTCCCTCCATTCTTGGCCTGTGCTTGAACCTACCTAGCTTTGGATTCCTTGCTAAATCTTTCTCTCCAATGCTCTTACATTTCATGGTGCCTAAGCACGTGTGTCGAGAGTCGAGTCGACTCACATAACAAGAGGATTCTCAAATTCATGGGTCCTGCGTTAGCAGTCATTAGGAATAGATGTCACATGGGAGCTTCGGATAACTACCCACATAATTAAGATCAGGACCGTTTTAAGCATGCTGCTCAGGGATGCCGGCAACAGAATTCCGCCGAAACAAATTTTAGGTGGGAGCGAGGGGTCTTGTATGTTCTAGCTGTTAGCACGATTACGGACTTTCCTGCTTCATTGCTATTGAGCTAGTGATTTGTGCCACCGTGCAGGACGCTGACAGGTCCCGGCCTCTGTGTGCCCGATGATCAGCACCTTGAGCGTTCGCAGCAGCACCGGCACGAGGAGAAATTTCCCAAATTGAGATGGAACAACGATGAGGACAAGCCAAGGTTGAAAAGGCCTGTTCGATCCAGATTCTAAATACCTTGGCCTGCAAAGTTTCAATCCCAGGAGATCGCCATTCATGCTAAGATTCATACCAGTGGCCAGTGGCTAAGACCCAGATATGTCCAGAACACCAAGGAACCCAGCTTAGAAGCAGCAGCCGGAGAAACAGCAAGAGGCAAGCAGCAGCAGCACAGCAATCCGGGTAGCAGGAGGACGAGGAGCAGGCGGAGGAGCAGGCGGAGGAGCAGGCGGAGGAGCAGGAGGAGGAGGAGGAGGAGGAGGACGAGGAGGAGCAGGAGGACAACGGAAACGGCAGCAGCAGCAGCAGCAGCAGCAGCTGCCACCAGCAGTGTGACAGAAGAAGAGGAAGAGGCACAACGATTGATGAAATGCTGAGCTGCGAAAGCGCAAGCGCTTCTTCATACAATCCGAAAACACCTCAGAAGGAGCCTGGATAAGCTGCGCACTCAAGACAAGTAGGCCAACCCTGAGCTCGATTATCCTTTGCACTCCACCAGCTAAAGTTCCCATGTAAACCTGACTTCATCCTTGGTTGAGGCCCTGTGCCTCTTATGGAAATCCATGATTGCTGAGATAAGGAGCCCTTGCTCCACTCGAGGTGGAGGCCGAGTCAATGAAGCGACGACGTTTCATTTCCTTGCTCAGGCTGCATCTCTGCCAGCAAACAACAGGAATAGAAGCAAATTTGCTACCAAACACTCCGCTCCCCCGACATGCTTGAATAGTTGCTATGCCAGCCTTTTTGTTGTTTAATTTTTGGGATTGATTGTGGTACCAGGCACTGCCCCTCCTGACCTTGTCAGGACATGGGAGCCTACCAAGAGCTCTTAACAGTCTTAACAGGAAGGCCACACTCGGACCAGCAAATTTGAGAGCCTTTAATCAACACCAAACTGTCTCCCAAACCCTCCTCCCAGTCCAGAGTACTAAGTCTTAGGACAAACCAGAACCCGTCTCACTTAGTTTTCCATTTTATTTTCCATCCACTATTCTATCTCTACAGCCTCTTTACCTCTTTTTGGACCGTCTATACTCACTATAAATCCTTTTTAACCAACCCCTTTTAAAAGGAACTGCCTTGCCGCAGACAAAATTCGCTAGCCTCATCTTGTTCGGGAAACGGGTCTGACATCGTTTAGGGGATTCCTTTAAAGCAAAACGCAGCAATATACGGGTTTGCACGGGAGTTTCCAGAAATTAGGGGTCTTGTTTGAGGGTCCTTATGCTCAGGAGGACGATAGAGCTTTGGGTACATAAGGAGGCTGCTTCATTCTGGAGATGCTCAGAAGGATCCATAAGCTGGAGTAGGACTAGTACCAGTCGAAACAGAACCAGTGGTATGAGAGCAGGAAACGCAATGTAGACTAAGCCTTCGTCTACGGGAGTTTGGATTCGAAGTCAAGCTGCACAGATTAAATTTCATCCCCCTGCGTACTGCCGGAGGGTTGTTGCAGTATTCTTCTGTAACATCGTCAAATTTTGCGTATTGGGGACCACTCCAGGATACAAGAGGAACATGTTTCCTTCGGTTTGGGCAAGTCAGCAAGATATGGCAGGTTCTCAAAATTGTCGTCCTTTTTGGGACCCCATTTTGAAATGGCCCAATTTTGTATGGTATACAAACCAGGCATCATGATTTTGACAACCTACAATATAGTTTCCAACTCATAGCAGAGGACGCTACAGAACTTGGCAGCTGCACCAGGTTTGCTGCTTTGGCCAGGCATCGCTGCTTGTGATGACTCGCAGGATTGTAGCCTCCTGCTCCTGCAAGTAGTTATAGGGGTTGTATAAGGACAAATAAGGACATAAGAGGCTACGCAAGGTTTGAGGTTTCTGAAGATTGGAGAATCAGCAACTTAGCAACTATTCGGCTGCCTTACCTCACCTACTGCTGCAGCTGGCAACTCAAAACGCTGCACCTCTTGTTGACATAATAAGCCACATGGAATCAGGCGATCGTGGTTTCAGTATGGCCTTATAGCCTGAGGGGCGGTCATCGGCTTGCTAGTCACCCCTCGTCCAGAAGTGTTGGCGATTGTACGGCCATGACAACTGCCGCAGACTGGAGACACCCACGTTCCTTTGGGGGTTGGTGTGAGCATCTATGACGTTTCGGGACAGAAATTGCCATCATACTTGAAGGAAGGGGCCGCTGATGCCAGTGACAACAAATCCTCAAAATTCAACTTGTGGAGCTTCGTCACAAAGGGGTACCTGAGCGAACCCTATATGTAGGGGTTGACCCTATGTATGATTTTCACGAAAAACTTCTTGAGAAGCTCCCACGTAATCCTACTGGTGCAAGCGGCCGGATGCCTCCATGGAACCGTCGCGCTTGAGTGTAATGGTTGGGAGAGCATAAATGTGCTCAATCATGGCGTCGATCATCTCCTGACGCGACTACGTGTCAAGACGTGGGACAACCCAAATCTACAGGTCTTGACACGAATCTACCCAGAGGGAAGGGTTCGAGGGAAGCGGCTTGTTTACGTATTGTCGGCTCAAAGGTGACTAATGTTTTATGTCCAACGCTGGGGTTACTTCCCGGTTCCTCCACCACGGTAACCTAGCGTCTAGGCAGAAGGATCCCACAAGATGCGGCTTTCCTGAGCGACTGGGCATGCAGCCCGAAACCTGTCGGATTGAGGCGGCTATCTGGCGCCAATGTGGGGAAGGTCCTGAGAACTAGAAGGTAGCTCTCCCGTTTTGCGCAATCTCAGGCAGGTCACCAACACACAATGGTTCAACGTGTGAATGACAGGTTGAGCATGATTTTGGCGCCGAAGCGCCGCCTCGGGCCATTGGGATTAAAGGATGCAGAAGCAGCACTCTCATTGTTTGTCGCCGCAGGTGTAGGGACACCGAAGGTGAGGGATTCTGGATATCCAGGTCGGTTTGGCAAGTGGTGTCACAGGAATTTTGGTCTGTTCATCCATGCCGAACGTCTTCAGCAACGACGCGCAGGACACTACCCCAAACAATGAGCACGTCTCATGCTTTCAACTTGGAACCGGACAATGCTTCCACCCACCCCCTGACGGCCCCCTGAGCAGCCAAAGCCTGAGCCTTGACTGACTGAGCACCAGAAGGCTATGAAATGCATAAATCCCAAGGGAGCACAGCTACTCCTCCTCTGGTACTTGCGCGCAATAGGAAAAGCATAATTAAAGCATGAAACAATTTATGGAAGGAACCTACTTGCCACCCATCTGCCAAAACCTGCCCATGCCCAACTCCCAACGCAGGGCTAGAAATCCACTAAGAGGACTGTGAATCTGATTTCTTTACAAAAATACTTCTTCCAAATCTCGGTCAAACAGTACAACACCATGCACGATATTGAAGTCCCCTACTCCCCGACAAAACCCCTCTGGAACCGCTTTTCAACCTCTGCTTCCAGCCTCATTAATGCCCACAGCCAGAAGCGGCTGGAAGTCGTCTGGGCTCCAGGCATTAACGATCCTGCAAAATCCATGGTTTTGAATGGCAGTTCATTCATCTTGTCTCTCATGAGTGGGGAATGAAAGAATGGAAAAGAAAATGAAAACTACTCTACTTCTGCGCATGATAGTATACAGGTGTTTACTAGCAGGATGCGTATTCCTGCATTCCTTGCTAAGCGGAGGTAAGCTCCTGCGGCTGCTGAGTGCATGTCAATCATCAAGCCCTTTCTCGACTGAACCCATTTTTTGAGCTGGGCCTGGATACCTTCCAGGAATGCGCATATGCTCAAGTTCCTGAAGACATAGTTTAGAAGGCTCCAAGTTCTTGTCCGAGGAGCTGTGCCGCGTTCATAGAGGAATGGATTCCTTGGTGCCATGGCCAGAAAAAGATGGGGGTGCCGCAAGGACAACTCAGGGTGTCCCTGCAACCTAGCTCACAAGGACTATGACTTTGATCACCAACTTGTAGGCATGTCTAAGCCAGAAGTGGATTGAAGGTCGCCTTTCTGGATCCCTCATGCGAGATGAAGCACCAGTGCCCGAAACCCGCCTCAAAACATGTCTTTACGGCATGGTGTCTTGCATGCCCTCTCCTCCAGGTGGGTCTGAGGTTGCCAAGTTTTTACTGACCCCAGCCACTGGCTTGTTGAATCGTCCCATCCGCACCCTGTGAAATATATTGGATGTTATAAACGGGGGTTCAGAATGCCAGGGCTTCAAGCTCCAATCCGCTGTGCTGCCCCGAAGACCCGAAGTTCCACCCAGAAACTTACAAGCTTCAACCCAACCACTCCTTTGCGCGACCTAAACTGCTGGCAACATTAGCTGGGCAGCTGCAACCGTCACATGAGATGGGCAGAATCGGCACGCGGTTGAAATGCGCCTGAGCTCGTCGCAACCAATCTCAGCAGTTTCCATCCTTGTCTTTCTGGAAACTGCCAAATGCTGCCAAATACTATATTCATCATTCGCCTAGTGGCACTTTGTAATCACAAAGCTTGCATGCTGGTGCAGCAGTAGCTGTGTGCATGTGCCAATGTCGGAATCGAGCAAGCGAGGCTGTTGCAACATGATTCCTTCTTGGGCTTCTTCAAGGAGCACCAGCGGTCCAGTCTACAAATGCTACAGCAGCCCCATCTACACTGGCCTTGAAACTCAACATCATCCCAGAGATGAAGACACTGTCGGAGTCTACGCAGAATCTCACATCAAAGCATGGAAGCCCGAAAGCATGTGCTCTACTCTACTCTGTCCAAGACTTAGACACAACACGCAAAACCAAAAGAAAAGCCAAACTTGTCTCTGCAAGCTTGAAAAGACTTCTTGAATCTCCGCGTACAGTTAACTTACAACGCAAGCCTGCAAATCATCAATACAGTCTGCAAAATTCATATTAGAAAGTGCCTTGGAACAGTCTTGCATAGCTGCGGAGGTTTTTGTAGAAACGCTTGACAGCCCATAGCACCCTACTACGGCCGAGATCGGTCCCAAACACGGTCACGAGCTCTCCAACGCACCAGGGTCGCGACATCCTGGGTAGCGCACAAAGCAGCGATGACGACAAGGGATGAAAGCAAGGAGCTCATAAGAATCAAGCTCAACAAAACTAAAAAGGATGCCAAACTTGATAATGACAAACATCTTTTTGGTGAGTGTTTGTCGCGATGGAAACGTACTGGTGATAGCGGGTGGAAGGCCTTGGGGCCCTCATTTTCAGTGTGTTGAGTTAGGGGCTAAAAACCATTTTGCACGCGTTTTTCAGATGTCTTCAGGAGGTTGGGATGATGAAGAAGCCCTGAACTTTGGGTAAGCTTTTTTCAGACATGTGTGAATTGCGGAGGGGTCTCTGGGCGAAACTTTTCCGTGTTATGATAAACCGACCTTCATGGAGTTCCCGCCCCCCCCCCACAGATCACGCTGTCTTTCACAAAGAGCTTCAAACAGCCGCATCGTGTGCGTGGAGGTGCCCCCAGAAAGCCCTCATCTTAAATCCAGATGCAAGTCCCTCGAAAGACCGCACCTTTATGTGAGGGTCCTGCTACGTTGCACACACATGTTTCTTCAACCGCCACCAAGGGAGAAAGACCTGGCTATGACATCTCTTTGCACCGAGTTGTCCCTCTAAACCATCTCACGCATCCGAAAATGCTTATGGAGGTCCTGCTTAAACTAATGCAAACACAGCACATGACAAAAGCGGGAGTGTGCAGAACCCATCATTTGCGGAGGATTCCCCCACCCTGAATCCAATACTAGATGGCTGGGTCCCCCTGCAATACCAATGACTTTTATCGTCTACATAATATGAGCTTGCACAGCAAAGAGCCTGAAGCACCATCTGATCTCTGTATGTAGACTTGAGACTTGCCTACCAACAAAGGTGCGGGCGCATAGGTCGCCCTGTTGCTTTCAATACGCAAAAGTGGCACGAAACCTGGGTTTTAGCCCGATTTGGAGGAAAAGACAGGCTAGTTGGACTTCCAGGAAACTATTGCCGTCAGGACACGCTTTCACTCTTTGTTACATTGTCTTTCGGTTTCTGAGATTGATTGTGTTAACCCGGAGTCCTCAACCTGCAAGACATAGAGAAACAAAAACGCCGTAAATACCAGTGTTTGGGCATGGTCGCCAAAGGCATGGATGCTTGTGTAAGCTTTCCTTGTTCCACATCCTTGTGCAGTATGTTGTACAAAAGACGCAAAAACACTGTAAATACCAGTGTTTGGGCATGGTTGCGAAAGGCATGGACGCTTGTGACAACGTGTCTTGTTCCACATCCTTTGCACCGTGTGTTGTACAAAGAGGCGAAACCACTGTAAGTACCAGTGTTTTGGGCATGGACGCAACGTGAATGACGTTCTTATCCCCCCCATCCCCGCACCCCTACCCCCAGCCGAACAACACCTGCAAAAACACAGGGCGACTATCGCGCCCGCCACCAACAATTTATCCCCCAAAACAATTCTTCTTTGCAAGCTGCTCAGCGCACCACACACGGAGACACTACGAATCCACCTTGCCTTTGGGTTTGTGATTCCAATGTGAACCTACCACCCTTTTTGCAGGTCTCTATGAAACTTAGCTGTTTCTGCATTCTGCAAGCTTCAAGGAAGAAGCTCTGCCGCCATCACATGAGCACATCGGAGGTTTCCGCACGAAGGAGTACACTTCGTGCGCGTATCGCCGTACACACCAAAACTCTTTCTGCCACTCGTTGTGGCCTTGCTCTGTCATACTACAAAGAGCTATTCCTGGACCTTCCATTCTGCATGCGGATTGCGCCCCGTTCAGCCCTTTCATATAAGCAGCTGCGTAGATGACTGATAAACAGCTGAGAAACCAATCAAAGCTCTCGCATTTCTTTTTGTTTGGGGTGTATCGCTTTATACGGTTAGGCACACTGCGGTGTTCATACCTATCGTTTTTCCAATGTTTTGCCAGATCCCTTGCCTGAATGCCCTGCATGTTGCTTTTGGATCGGATCCTTATAAGTTACCAATCGTTCTTTCGGGTGGCCCTATCCATTTACTGGATAATTCTATCTCTGCCTGACCTTGGGTCCTACACGATAATAAAGTCGCTCATATGGAGTTGCTTCATGCCGATGTAGAGATCCTCATCAAAATCCTATACCCCACTTCAAGTAGATGCCGCGCCAATTTTGTTATTGAGAGATTGGGGCAGAGGCCCCGGCTTTAAGGCTTCAAATGGAGATCCCGCGACTGCTCTTGTCAGCACTACTGGGCTCCCCTACGAGTAGACCAAAAAAGGAACGGCTTGCATTTTCATGGTGCCCGGTCTAGGGAAGAAACTTTGCTATGGGGCAAGGCTGGGGCAACAGGCTCGGGGCAAAAGAATCACGAAGCCAACTTGCATTCTTTGCCCTCGGCTGGGGTCCAAGCCTTTTGCCCCAGCCTTTCCCCATAGCCCAAACCCCTGCTACAAGACAATTTGGTCTGATTCCCACTCTAATGGGCCTTCAATCGCGTTTCCCACCAAGGTTTTTATGTAACACGCATTGGGCGCTGCTGAGAGTCGCATGATATGGCTTGGCAACCGTGTAGGCATATAATATAACCTGAGAAACCAAAAAATCCTAGTTACACAGAAATGTGGGCCGCACAGCTTTCCTTTCTGGAGTGATCATGAGGCTAGGCTCAGTAGGAATGACGCAATACCACCATTATAGTGAGAGCGAAGCGAGAATGACGATGCCTGGATTAAAGCTTAAACCTGCATGCTTTTTCCGCTCCGGTCTCTTAATGACTTAATGACGACTAATTATTCGTTCTCAAACACGCTCAACTTGTCTCAAATGCTCGCGACTTTTTTAGAGAGCATTTGAGCTAGGGCCCCATATCAAGGAGCCCTTTTGAGCGAGGCGAGGTACAGCGACGATAGCATTCAAACAATCGTCTTCATCAAGTCCTGACAGACCTTCTGGTGGCAACTGAGTCCGCCATCATACGCGGGTTGAACTGCTTGCTATGATATTTTGACCGCCCAGCATTTAACTGAATTTAACTGGACCAAGCATGGCAGCCTAGCTCTTCACAGGGTAACCAGCTTTAGGAGCAATAACTTTGTGAGGAAGTAAGTATCTACCTGCACCAAGCATGGAAAGGCTCCGCCAACCCGTGTGCAGCAGCAGTGCCCTCGGAAGCCCGAATCTTCAGCATGCTAGTACGCTTTTCCCTCCAATTTTAGCATTCACTTGCATCTGGCACGACCCGACCCCAAATGTAGCTGGGCATCATTTGAGGAGTAAGCAGCGGTACCAAGTACGCCACTCCACTTCGCACCTTGTGGAATCAGCCCAGCATTTTGGGTCTGCGCTGCATCTCCCGTGATGTTTCAAAGGGTTGGAAGGAGAAATAGGAAAATACTTTGACAAGATGGTCCAGGGCCGGTAGCTTTCAATGGTGTCCAGGTTCCTCGAACAGTTGCGATGAATCATGGGGCTCATGCGCAGGTGCCCGAACATAGTTATCCTGAAAAAAACCATGCAGTGCATCATCCCTTGCCCGTGCGAGCGGAAGGGCAAGTAGCCTCCTCACGGTCTGACTTGGACATCAACCTCAGGCCTTGCAGTGAGCACCCCTGTCTAGAGGATTGCCAGGTGTGTGTGTGTGTGTGATGGGCTTAGAACGCTGGACTTCTGGTCCTGACCCTCAGGTAATCGCAGCACTTGCAGTTGTGACGAGGTGCACTCTCGAACAATGAGTCCAAGTCCTGCAGCTCATCAGAGTCCAGAAACACCTTCGCAGGAATGAGTTTTGGCCCCGGAAGCAACCCATACTTGTATTGCTGGGCCTAGCTGGTCACCTAACTACGTGGCGCTTTGGCAGCAGAAATTCGTGCAAGACTAGGGGCTTGGGGAGATGTGGATGAACAGGTGGCTTAAGCACCCAGACAGGGTAATTCCCAAAGGATGTACCCAACTGATTTTAATATAGCCACTGCAACTACTTTGAGTATGAGTATTGCTACTTTTATTCTACTATTATAATTACTACTACTTTTATTATCTTACTACTATTATTACTACTTTCTGGTTTCAGAGATGCCTGCATGTCAGGTACAGTCAACTGTTGCCGCTGAGCAGTCAACAGAGGAATCGCAACAAACAACAAGAGTACTAGGGGTTAGGGTTTAAGGTGGGCGTGGACTTCAACAAGCCTGCAGCAACACGCAGCAGCCTTACCCCCGGCCATGGAGTCAGCTGCGGCGATTCAGGCAACAGCCCCCATTATTGACAAAAAAAACGAGCTCAGCTCAATGACATTCATTGCTGCAAGCAAGTACTCCTCGCCAAAAGGTTGAGGTTTTAGCCTTAAGGGCCTAGGTTTCTAGGACAATATACCTACCAAGCCCCGTAAAACAAGGAAGTCAACATTTATGATGGTAAGATTCACTCTGCTGGATCTCAACTCGAAAGGGCAGGAGTCTGTGCAGAATCTCAGGGGCAGCGTTGCCTGCGATATGCCGTAACACGATGCTGATGATGCTGGCAACAGTGTGGGAGTGTGAGGTTGGTGGCGGTGGAGGCAGGAGCAGCTACAGGAAGAGTATGAACAATAGTAATCAACAGTAAAGGCCATGACATGGCGACTTAACATGAAAAGTGGGGAGCTCGCCGTCAATGGCCAAAGCACACATCAGTACCACACTACACTCACTGAACATGCGTCAAGCTCTGAGACCCTTTTGTTCACATTGGCCAAGCATAAAGCGCGCAGCTCTCAGTCCTGAAGCCCCTAAAGCTTCAACTTCACCAACCTACTTAATCGCTCTACAGGGATTATTGGACTTACCCCAATTGCAATAAGTTTAGTTGCGCGAGTTGCGCTCTTATCTTTTTCCTGAGGTGCTCAACTCTGACCTCTCTGCGCTCTTATCTGAAGCTGGAAAAACTTGCCAAAGGTTCCAGTGGATTCCGATGAGCCTTGTCATGCGAGTGCTTGTTCATGATACTCTTGATGAAACGAGCCAAAGCGCCAGCTGCACCTGAGTCTGTGGACATGACATTCAGTGGCTTAGGCAGGGTTGTCTAAGGATGGTGTCAAGGTACGCCAAGCCTGATTCTTAACAACTATGATCTGTTTGGTCTTTACATTCAGGTCCTCTTGCCTGAGAGCAGGAATCTGATTTCGTGACACACCACGACGATAGACATAGACCCCCCTTTGCCTTTGCCTCTCTGTGACGCGGTGCTCTGCAGAACTGTCAAGGACCTGTATCTCACTTTCTAATCCTCTCTTGTGTCCCTTGCGGTTCTGCTCTTCTTTCCCTTCTTGGTTCTTGTAACGAATCCGTTGCGTGGCCCAAACGGTGTCACCGATGCTATGCAGTCTCCGTTCTGGTCTCCCCTCTCGAGCACAGGAACCAGTACGGCAGTGTGACTCGTGCCTCGCTGCTCGTGTCCTTGCCACTTGTCAATTTTCGTTTTGTCTCCCTTTCTCGGGCCAGAGTGTGACACACCCACCGCAGAATTGAAACCCTTGTCTTCCTTCTTGCATCAGCAACCGCATGGTGTGATGCGGCCTGCTGCAGGATTGTGAGCATTGTCCCCCTGTTATTATGAACACCAGTCATCTCTGCTTTCGTTGTCTACGTACGCGTCTCCCTTCTTGTCTCCTTGTCCCCCCGTTTGCTCAGGTAATGTCACGCATGCCTTGGCAGAATCGCGACCCTGCAGAATTCGGTTTGTCACGCACTCTGGCAAGGAGTTGGAGCTGTTATCTCCCTTCCTGTGCTTGTCTCAGGTGCTGTCTCCCTTCACGAGTCAAGGAACCAGATTGTGTGCTGACACCCGGCGCAGAATTGCTATTCCTGTCTCCCTCATACATCTCCTTTACACGCTTCTTGCCTCCATATCTTGCTTCTCTGTCGCCTCACCAGCCTCCTCGAACCACAAACCCTTTGGAATTGCAAGCTTTGCTTCATCATCTACTCCTGCGTCGTTTCATTTGTCTGCATTGTAAGACGATCTACGATTTCAGGGTCTTCGGCTGTTTGGGGTCGAGGCTTCTATAACCTTATGACGTAGGGGGTTCTGGTATACGCACATACGTCTCATACAGAAGGACCTTTATCTGAGAAGCAATGCAGGAGCCTGAATGATTAGCATCATAATCCCCCCATTCGTTCTTCCTAAATGTAATGAGATTGCCCCACAACCCTATTGTAGCTAATCAGGTCCTAATGACTCTCGCCAGTTTGAAGCCGCGCAGCAAACTCCACTCAACACTGACATGCCTTCTATCAGGGCTCAGGCGCTCTTGTGATGAGTGAGGAAGACTTTGTATGTCTTCTCCTGCAGCTGGTTTGCAGCGGGCAGAAAGAAAGATCAACTTAAGCTTGAAGCTGAATTTGTGAACCTGAGCGAGTGCTTTGGATGCAGGTCTGAGCTTGTTTCCGCATTGTATGCGCCCACTTCATAATTTGACTCTTAGTGCTGACTGGACGTAGCACGAGATTACGTGATCCGATACACAGCAACAACCTAGACAAAGAGGACTCGGCAACGCAGCATTCAGCAAGCGTAGTAACAACTCTCTATCTTCGAGTTGTTCACTTGGCAGGAAAGTAACCTTACGTAGAGGGTGCTGGTACTCGTACTTGCTGGTGCCGTCATAGCGCGGCAAAAGCCAAGCTGTGACAGAACTAAACTTGGGCGGGGCCACACAAGGCACATGCGATAGGGCGGTATTCAGCCGGCTTGGGCTTGAACTGTCTGGCTCAAGACACAGTGGTCCTGAACGCTTCCTGAAATTCGGGCTGGAGCTCAATATGTTGAAATAAGATGATTCCTGCTTACAATGACAGGCCGGACTTTCATCACAAAGTAAGCTTCTTCAAATCAGTCAAGTCGCTGGGTGGCAACGTCCTGAAATAGCACGTCGAGATCAACAAGTTTAGCAGTAGCTGAAGCTATGGAGTACAGTCGCCCATTTCCGGCGTTTTGTGCTGGCTAGGAGCCACGAGATGCACCGGAAACCTTCAAAGTGTTGAGTGGCCAACGCGGTGTCTGTGTTCTTCTAGGCGGAGTCAACTCATCAAGACTGGTGTTCCCATCGCAGCTGACCATGCTGCAGTGAATTCGATTGTGGCTCCTTCATATGCCCTTCATTGATGCTCCGCTGCATGATTCGCATGAAGCTGCTTAAAAGGTGTGCTTAGTCATGCGTGACAACTTGTAGATCAGCACGAATCCGCGCAGCTACTCTCTGTGCAGCCCCCCCAAAGCTACGACTCCCTCAGCTCCGATTCCTCCGCTCTAGAAACTACTGCCGCCTAAGCACAACACAAACAAAGACTACTGGGTGTATGTTCCATGTGGACGAGGGAGGTCTTGTAAGGAGGGCCTCAGAAAACTCAAGCCCGAATCCGCATCCTAATCGGCAGATCGTCTGGACACTGGCCAAGGCTCTCCAAAGGAAGATAGCGATCACCACCAGCAAGGTCAGGAACGAGAAGACCAGGAGCATGGTAAACGTCCAGGACAAAAACACGGCCTCAACTTTACGATATGGCCTTGGTAAAAGTTGCCTCCAGCAATATGCTCAGTCTAGGTGATGTGAAGTAAGCTGTCACTGAATAGGCCAGAAGACTCAACCAGAAAGGCTGAGGCTTGGGGTTCCTCCGAACGATCTTTGGTGTATCTCTAACGATACGCTTCAGCTGGGTGAGCGCTGTTGGGTTTAGCGGTTGTAGGCAAGACTGGGAAAACTTGTATGTAGCGGAACATCTGCATAGTCACCGGCCAGCGCTATGTCAGGAAAACACAAGTGTTATCCATAACCGTAAGTGTGAGAGACCATGGGAAATGGCCCGCTGATCAGTTATAAACTTCGGTCTTCCATACTTGGAGGATGCGAGCAAGCTCTTTGCCGCCACGTTACATAAGAGTGGCGGTCGGAAATCTGATCGAAGCTGAGGATTGGCCCCGCGACCACAAGGAAGAGCACCACAGCAGTGGAGAACAGCATGTCTGTGACCTGCGCAGTTGTTGAGGGCAGACTCCCCAAGCGTTTCCCTCATCAGCTTGCAGTTCCCAAGTTTTCTTCTTTTCTTGCTTCTGCTTGTCTGGGAAGGCCGCAGTATGGCCTTGGAAAGCCAAAACTTCCCCACCAAGAGAATTCAACCCTTGCCAACTGCACCGGATGCTCCATCAAGGCTATGTACGACCAGCATGGGCCAGCCAGCGCAACTGTTTTGGCCTATATCCCAACCTCCGAGCGCCACCCCTGTTGCACAATGCCTGAGCCGGGAGCCCTGAATCCTAAAGCCTAAACTATAACCATACCCTGAACACTAACACGTCTGGGGCTCCCACATTTGCCACCTGCGTCCTCCAAGGCCAGGAGCGGATCTGCACAAGCATTCCTCTCCAGTGGTCGCGGGCATCTAAGGTTGGGTAGTGATGTGGAAGCTTTTTGGTGTAGAATGATGGAGAAGCAAAGGGACAAGAAGATGGACGCTTAAATATGGAGCTGGGATTATAGGGGTCTGCAACGTTTACACTGTAGTTACTTGTGCTTCAAGGAGAGTGGGGAGTGGATCCTGTAATAATCCGTTCTATAACCCCCTGTTATAATACTTATAATGACTCCTCCCATAAGCACCAGTAAGGTGACGGCACGAGCAGGCCGGGAGTTCGGTGCCTGCTGTATCGCTACTTATGACTGGGCAATGGTGGGAGAGAACAGAACTTCAGTTGGGTTCTGCTCTTGCTTACATGAAATGAATGTCTCTTCGACTGCAGGCCGTGAACTGTCTTCAGAAACCTGGTTCTGCTGTCCTGGCGCAGTTGCCTGTGCTGCAGAATGACGCAGTATCTGTTTCGGTCAAAACGAGAGAACTGCCATGACAAATAGTGAGCTTGCTTGTAATTGCAACATATTGTAACCCCATCCGTCCTACAAGAAGCACAGCTGCCAGCAGGACGACTTGGATGGTGGGAAAGCTTGCCACGGCCACTGGAATCAGGGATAGGAGTGTGTTCCTGCGAAGCGATTTTGAGCGCTTGATGGAATCATGGGGTCGTTCAAAATCAGGGGTCCCTCTGGGAGGTTCAGGAAAACCATGCAAGGACACTGGTCTTTGGGCGGGTGGCTGTGCCTGATTCCAAGCCAAGCCTTGCACGGACTCAAGGCTCATAAGCTCGTGGTGGCCATGGCTTGACTTCTGCAGGGCAAACATGGGTAAACCAAGTCTGCAACTGCCCAACTGTGCATGACATTCCTTGTGCTAAGATCCACTCAACGATGGCTGTAAGCCATCTATGGTTGGATGATGTTGCATGCAAGCCTGGTTCGTGGAGCCTACAGATGTTTTCAGACCTTGTTCAGGGGCGCCGTAGTGTTCATATGACATTCGTTGGGCAATGGCAACTTTTTTGTGGCACGTTCTGCAGAATTCTACTTTCCGCTACTTTTGAGACTTTGCACGGTCCCGGGGAGCAGGGGGGCTTTACCCGAGCTGGGCTTGATGACTGAACAGGTTCCTGAGCGACTTGTGCAAATCTATGCCGCAAACAGCACCTCACCCATTTACATTTGTGCAACCTCGGATCTAATGTCTCTACTTGACTGCGTACCTGGTGCACGTTCAGCGCAATGATCTGACACTGCACCACAATGCGCGCTGTGTGCTCACACGCTGCAGAACCGTGCACTTGGAGCATCCCCAGGCCGCACGGCCCATGAACAAGCAATGCTGTCCTGAGGAGGTAGCTGACCTCACTTGTGCGGGTGGAATGCGTCAGGACAACTTGGGAATTCAAAAGCCAGTCTTCGAAGGTGAAACTGGAATGCCGCATATACGACAGGTTAGGATGACTTGATGACTGCCCACGACTTACCAGATCTTACCAGCCCTACAGCCAAGACAATGACTTCGCAACGAATGCAAGGAGAATAGGACAAGCTCATGCAAACTCAGCGACCCTCCTGGTTCTAGTCTCTTGATTTTTCTGTTGCGTGACCTTAGTATACTAAGGCACCATAACTCCTAAGGATTAAGGTACTTCGGATCATGCAGGATTTCCATGTCAACCGTACTACGTACTATCTATCAGATCTATCAGTGCCATTCCGGCCTGAGCCGGACCTCCAGAAATCTATTCCAAAGCCCTTAGATGCATGAGAGTGACACCGTAGTAGTAGCGGCTGGCACCTTGGCTGTCAGAATTCAGCTACAGCTACCGGAGCCTTGCCTTCCAGTAGTCAAAGTAGGTCCTGCAAAGCCTGGGCCTTTTTCGTTTGAATGCCGCCTCTTGTAAAGGCAGCTTTGATTTCTATTCTGAGAAGACGGATCCTCACGTAGATAACTGCCAGCCACTTAAAGCAAGACCTCTTTACCCCACCCTGACATTCCGCTCGACGCAACTCACAAGGATTCCTTCTTCAGCACCCGATCAATTCAACCCATGCCGCGAACCCAAGTACTTATTGGTTCTTCATGGGGCAAGGAGGTATGGATCCCTATAGTAGCGCCATTTCCATCCCCAATAACGCAGAAGCTTCCATTTTCTTTTGCATTCTTCATGTCCTAGTTACAGCCAGCAAGAGAAGGGATTTGTAAAGGAGCCGGGTGACGAAAACGTTCGAAGAGGAACCTGTACCGGCTCACGATCAGAAGGCCCTTGCCAGAGCTGATATAAGACCTGAGTTGAGATGGAAGAAGGGGGGCGAGGGCTTCTACATAAAGTTTTGTAATGTCCATGTGGGAGTTTCTAACTGCTGTGCCCCTTATCTGCCCCCCCATGATTACAATCCTTAAAAATGGGGACCCTAGTTGAGACTCCTAAATTCCTGGAAGCCCCGCTGATCTAGCAACCAATGCAGGCAAAGTTCGGGTACATGATCGTGGCTCGGAGCGCCACGGAGAGAATACAAACTGGATACATAAGTATACCCAGAATGCACATGAAAACCAAGGCCCAATGCTCATCAGACTGGAAGCATATCCTGAGATAGCCGCGGGCCACTATGACGTGCTGCTCGTGAACTTTTTGGCCACAAGGTAGATCGCATCAATTCTTACAACTTGGCCCCGCGCACACCAGGCTGCGTCTGCATGCTGTAGGTCCCGTTGGGATTTGCAACGCATTGTAAAGGAAGGAGGGAATTGATGGTCAGCGTCATGTACAACGTGAGCAACGCCAAGCCGTTCATGTTGATGACGTCGTTACGTGTCACCTGCCAATGAAAGAAAGTACAGAAGTTCAAGGCACAGGGCAAGGCTACGTAACAACTGCCATTGCTTTAGCACCACTCTGCTCTAATTGAAAAGAGCACGCATGACACACTCGCTTACAACATCACTCGGCCCCGCAGGACGTCTAAGCGCGTGACCTCCAACCCGAGGCGGCTGATGCAGATCTTGGCTGCTCCGAGTTCGGAATTCTACGAAGCTAGATCTTGATTGGGAATGGATGTTTTCTGCAGCAGGGCGCACCAGAAGCGAAAACATCCCCCCACCCCAAACTCAAGCTGTCCACCTAAGAACCTATATTCCTGATGACAGGATTCGTTCATATTTGCAGGAAGTTTTTCTGGTCTTAGGGTCTGGCAAACATCGCAAACCTTGTACAGCTGATGGAAACTGAAACAGGGCCCAGGCACCCAAACCAACACCAGCACTGCCGCGAAGACCGGATAGGCGAGCAGCTGCATGGCAAAGGTCAAGACCGCTCCATCAGTGGAAACCACGCATCCTCGACTTGCTACGTTGCAAAAAAGATGGAAACCCAGTCTTTACTAGATGGTCCAGGCTTGTGGCTCATCTGCAAGGCTCTGTGCCTGGTTTTCCACATTTCTCATTGAGGCCTGATACTTGAATGCGCCCGGTCCTGTATTCAGGAGATCCACGTCGAATGCAAAGATGGATAGGAAATCCATGACGACTAGGGCAGGCCCTGGACGCAGTGTGGAGTCTCGCTCAGTTGTCATAGCTACAATAGCTAAGGGCTCTCAGGTATCCAAGCTGATCCAAACCGGACTGGTTTTACACAATGCATCAAGCCGAATCAACAACCTTCCACTTTGGCGGAGCTGAAGGAAAAACAAGTAAAAAAGGGTTCACAAGGACCTTGGTTGTTGACAGTGAGGTACCTCCTCCAACCTTCAGTCGTCCAAGCCTAGGCCTCCAGAAGCTCAGTCCCTACGCCTGCACAGGCCAACTTCCTAGTGTTCGGCGGACATAGTGGAGCGTGCGCAAGCGCATGTATCGGCCGCAAACGCACAACAATTGCGGCGCAAGCGTGCGCTAGAGTCCTGGAAACAGAGTATGACTGGACCAACGTTGCGCGAACGGATGGGCTGGACTGGTGACATGGAACTTTAAACGAGAAGAATTGCAGGCTAGAGATTCAGTAAATTCTTGCGCCCGGGGTTTCACAGCCTCTGGGCTTGTTGGCCAATATCTTTACTTTCACGGGCGACCTTACGTGATGCAGCTCCAGAAAATGCAGTTTCCTACTTGTCTAACATCAGATCTCACGGACCACTGCTAAACTCCCGTGTTTTCCAGTCTCTGCAGAGCCCGCCTGTCCACTCCAAATCCAAGTTCCTGCCAGAATCAACAATGCACAGTTTCTTCTTGGCGTAAGGTTTATATGTCAGCAGTTACCCCAAGAGTCGGTGAGACGACGCTTTGGCGAGCCCGTTCTCGTAGCATGCATGTTGACAAATGTGAAAGTTTCATGTCTGCGAAGAAAGAGGATGATCACAAAACTACAATGTAGCGGCTTCAGTAATACCAGAATTATGGTCGTGCTTTCCTTAGATGCTCCTGGTACAGAGTGTCTCAACCCTTTGTGAGCACTAATAACCTGCTAAACTCGCCAAATGCACCCCTGAGGACCGCAGGAGTATAGTCCCTATAATACATTACTGTTTTCCCCCTCCCATTTCCGGAATTCCTCATGGCTGCCATCAGTTGCAGCATCAGGATGATCCTGAGATCTTGAACATGAGGTGCTTGCAGAAAACAGGGGCTCCAGAGGGAAAGGCCGGGGATATGGGAAGGCTCGGCTGGCTGTTGGTGGCATGAAAGAGTAGTAGTAGAACATAGTAGAACGAGCGCAGTGGTTTGCAGCAGCAGCAGCAGCAAGCCATTAGTTTTACAAGCGCGGAGTTCGTTATGCTCCAGGGTCCTCGAATCCGCTCATAGACGGCAAAGGCCCCATCAAGAAAGTGTCCAGGTGAGGCTTGTAGGGTTCAGGTGCTTCCCTAAGCCCTGGATTCTCTAAGCCCGGAATCCTTAAAAGCCCTTGTCTGTTGCAGGAAAGGAACTGCCCAGCGGTCAGGAAAACCGTGACTTGGCCGAGCCTGGAGCAGGGCCACAGCTTGGTGTTTGGGGCTTAGGCGTTTAGGGTATTGTCTCTGGGAGCTATGTGAAGAGAAATGGTTTGGGGGTTGAGAATGAAGAATCAAGTGGCGCAGAGAATGGCAAGTGACATTGAAACTGATGAGTTTATAGGCACCTTTAGGGGTCCAGTTTCAGTGTTTAGGGTGTTTTCTGGCTTTCTTGGATTTAGCTTAGGGGGAAAGAGTTTAGGAAAATGGGGAGATAGCATGGGATTCGGTGAGGATATTGGCTACATAAAGACTACGTATAAGGGCCATATAGTAAGGAGCACTTTAGGGTTTTGAGTTTTTGGTGTAGATGGTGTAGGTGTGCTAGGAGTGTCCGGGTGCTAGGGATTGAGAGTTGAAGGCCTCAAGCTTTCAAAGCATGATTTTGAGGATAGAGGTTTGCATCTTTGGGGCTTCTAAGGGTGTGGGGTCCTGAAATTCTGAGGCTTGCATGAAACTCTGAGGCTTGTAGGGTTTCAGAATATCAAGGGCTTTGGGTTGAGGGCTTAGCTGAAGATGGAGTTCCGATCACAAGTTTGGTTTGGGCTCCAAGTCTCCAATCTTGAAAAACCACAGCAAACGGCCTAAACCGCAGCATACGGCCTAAACCGCAAGGCTTTTTTCTCGCTCTCTCTCTCTCTCTCTCTGGAGAGTGGGGTACCGTACACTAACTCTTGGGGTCGTACTGCGCCAGGGACCCAAAATACCAGAATTTTGACAACCTATTGTATGCACGTACTGTTTGCACTGGTTGCATGTTCAATGTCGCGGTTCAAGTTCTGCGACAGAAAAGAATTTCAACTACCCGCTCATGCAGACGGCATTTTCCCATAATGAGCTTGCAAATGGTTAGTGCGCCCCTTAAACCCTAAATCCTAACATCCTGAAACTGACGCCCTGAAGCTTGGAGGAAGCGCACAGTGCCTACCCAAAAGCCTGACCGGTTTCATGCTAAATCCCTGCCCCTACCATGAAACATTCCTACCCCCAATCTCGAATAACAAACGTGCTATAATTATCTGATAAACAAATGCCGCCAAAATTGAATAACGCCAGGGGGGGGTGTGGACCCACCGGGGCGAGGCAGTGTTTTGCTTGATTCCTTGGGCTTCACTCTTGCTACCGCAGGACCTAAGTCATCCTCACGGGCGGAAACTTGCATGTGGAAACATTTCGCGCGCGTACCGCGCCAGCACGGTGCACGACAATCGGGATGTCCATCATGGCAACCGAGCACACTGCAGGTTATGCTGTTTCAATCAAGATGCTCAGGAAGCATAAGGGACGCTCCGCATCACGCAGCTGGCTCCATAGTGGAAACCCTGAGCCGTTTGAAAAGACAGTTCCATGAGAGTTCCCGGAAAGATGCCTCTGTCGTGCTGCGTTTGTGTGGACAAAGGAGAGCAGGAGCCCGCCCACCAGCATGGTCGCAAGCAGAACCAGGAGAGCGGGTAGAACATCCACCTTGCAAGGCTAATCTCAGGTGTCTTACTGCAGGGGTGCCTAACAGAGATATAGGTGAGTACAACAGATTTCTGGTCTGTTTGCGCTTGAGGATTCCCATGCACCAGTACATCTAGTAAGTACGGATCTGATTTTCTGCAGGCCGGGTGTAAGGCTTAAGGGATTTCCGTGCGCTGAGACTATACGATCAACATCGTGGATATTCTTGCTAGTTGCACAGACGCCCGTTCAGAATACCCCGGTCCCGGCCCGAAAGTGTTGGTGCGCCCCTGTTTAAATTCGCCCCTGTTTAAATTCGACGGATTGTCGGTCCGAAACGTGGGTATATTGGAGTCAGAGGCTGCGCTTGACACTTCCTGTAATTTGCGGTCCTTCAGCAGGCCATGCATGACGGAACTGCAAACCCGCAAAACAAAAGCGCTGAAGCCTTCGAAATCAAACCCCTCTACCTCTGTCCAGGGTCTGCGAAGCATCAGAAACTGAAGCAGGCATATTTACTACTGTAACATTGCAAGCAATTTGCAAAACGGTAGAACTTACAATCACAGCAATGCTACTTCAGCCCTACAACTAAGGACATCAAAAACAACAGCAGCAGTAACAGCACTAGCAATAGCAACACAAGGAATGGGAAAAGCTATTATGAAAAGTGGCTTCAAGAGGCATAGTCAGACTAACAACAAGAATTGTTGACATCACCATAAGAAACATTGAGAATGGTAAGTATTAGAAACATGGTAAAATTGTAATGCTATCATACATGGAGCGGTACTGGTACTACGAATAGAGAAGCGACTCGTATGGCACGTCACTTGTAGTAACGAGGAAAACGCAGATAATGGTACCACATCTGCAGAACCACAGGCTGAGACTCATAGATGTGAAGCACCGGCATTTTGTGGAAAAAGAATGACGGCGGGTCCAACCCTGCAAAAGAAAATATGCCTTAATTGCAAAAAGACTTGGCTGTGATAGATGGATAGAGTATGTAGGTCCGGAGAACCAGCGGACGAGGACTAAAGATCAGAGGACCAGGTAACCAGAAGTTTCGGCAGCAGAGGACCATTGACAGCGCTCATGTCAAGCAGTTGTATTTTTCGAGCTGCTGAAAGAACACCCCGTTTACAATCCTGTACCTTGATCAGGATCTTTTGAAGCACGGACGCTTGCTGCAACATCTGAAAACATTCTCCCTCACCATGCTAAAGCTCCAAACGTTCAGACCTTTGACCCTAAACAAAAAATCCCACACCCTGCGAATCGAGTTGCGCCCTCGCACTCCTCGCACTTGCCTTGTTGGCCTTGACGGTGCCACTCCTGCTGTGCCAGGGCAGGCCGCTCTTGAGCATTCTAGGAGGCTTTGGGTCGAGAGAGAGGGCGAACGAGCGGAGCGATTAGATTTTTTCTCTTTTGCATGGTTGGTTCTCAGCTCTGCTGCGGAGTGCTACGCTACGACATACAAAGGTTAGGCCTGAACAGTGCAACCTTTCCCCATTGTTGTACCGTCTCTGAAAAAGCTGCAGCCGGATCTGTGTGCAAAGAACTCTGCTGGAGCTGGTCTATGATAACTACAACGCCCTGAAAGCAAATGCGTGGCCCACCCTTACCTACCAGGAGCCTTGCAGTTGTTGCAGGCGCGCCCTTCGCGGCCGTCAGCGCATGTTCCGACAGAGCCCTGCAACACAGGCCAGTCGCTTCTCAGCAACCATGGGTGGTGGTGTAAGTCAAATCAAAGCCGCAACAGCACTATTCGAAACAGTGTTGTCAGTAGTTGATGTTCCATCTTCCACGCAGTAGCCTCGGAAACCAATGACGTCTCAATTACATGCAAAAAAGACCAGCTCAAGATCAAGCCAAACCTTCTTGGATTTCTACTCCCAAGGCGTGGATGCATGTGAAACTCCTGTAGAATTACAACTCCATGGCGGCAGTGCGCATATAGCTAAACAGCTAAACCCTATACGAACCATGTATCTTACTAGATCTTACTATATAGTGTGGATTTCGGCTGATACCATCCTGTCGCCTGCGGGCACTGCCACGTGTCGCGACAGCGGAATGCTGAATATCCCTCGGTGGCAGACGTTGAAACATCATTACTTTGCCTTAACGATGTTACAAGTATTTTCTCTGGATCCCACTACATATCTGTATATGTCGTCTACGCATATGTACTCATGCAGATATATTGCTTGTTGACAAAATACCAGGAAGAAACACAGGAAGCCCAAAAAGGAAGTTACTGTATCATTTTGAGAAAGTTATCGCAGTTCTTGTTGCTTATTTGCGGCTTCCATGGACACGCTAATTGCTCCATGTTCACATGCGCATTCATTTGCCGTAATCCAGTGAGGACAAAAGTGCTGGAATGGTTTCAGTGATGTGCTGCCGTCTTTTGCGCATCCAGACACCGGCCACATGCTCCGAAAGTTAGTGCAGAAGGAATCATGAAAATCGCCTCCCCCTGATGATACTGATACACCATCCCTACCCCTTTGAACAAACTTCCAAGATAGTACCGTTCTATATTTCCGGCGGCATGTATTAGTAGTGGTGGAGAGGTTTCTTACTAGGGAGAAGTGATTGAAGATCATGCAACAGCTTAGGTTCTTTGCAGCCATGCCGCCCAGTCAGTGCGGTCCACCCAGTACCCAGCCTTCTGCAACGGGGCGCCATTACCTCCTGTCCGCTGTGGCCTTAAGGTGCTGTTAGGGCCTGTGCGTAGAGGAAACATGACGTCCGGTCGAGGGCTGCATGAGAAACATGGTTAAACATGACCTTACTGGGCCAGGATTTCCGTCAAACTCATGCTCGAGGTGCCAGGACTCATTTTACTTGTATCCAGGGTTCCGATGCGGAAGGTACCACCCTGGTCACCAAAGCCGACATCACAGTGCACAATTCGCAGTACAACTTGGAGAACTAAATTGCAACCCCACATGCTTGAGCAAGGCATACCCGGCACAATCCAGACATGCCCACATGGCCCCCAAAGCGACAGCGGCTCAAAAGACCTCATGATAACAACTTCCAAGACATCGTGTGTGGATCAAGAAGTTCCCCACCAGAAGAAGCCGGAAACCCTTCAGCCAGTCTTCATTTCGACTCTGATCCATGCTCTTGAATTTGGATTTCCCCAAATCCTCCAACCCGCAGGTGAGCCCATAAGCCCTTGGTCCAACTCCCAAGCGAAGACCCGGTTGATCATGTTGCCGAGAGTTTAGCTTTGAAATGCAGAATACAAGTCACAGGACGTAGAGCGGGCGGGAAAATTTCACTGGAGTGAGACCACAGCTCGCAGGCATTTTCTTGAGGAGCATTTACGGGACTCGTGGCATTAATGACATCCCTCAGACTGCGTCTGAAGCGGCACCAATGAGCACAAATCAAAGGCGCGCCAGGCATTAGCAAATAGAACTTCCGAATCGCACATCTAGACATTACAGCCTTTCAATGACCTATACTCTGGGTAGCTCAGTGTCGATAACGCGATGATGCCAAGAGCAAGAGATTTTGGCAATGCCACAAACGATGACCGTTGTCGTCGTTGCCACTTACGTGGTAATAGATGCAGCAGGAGAAAAAGCAAAAACAACTTGAAAGCAACACTGCCGCAGACACTGAAACTTGCAAAAGGAGCAGCAACTTGAAGGCGGACACCACGCAAAGCCACACCAAACGACCTAGCCCATCAGTCCTGGACAAACCAGCCCTGGCATGCAAGGAGTACAGTGGCCACCCATCGATCCATTGCCAGTGCCTCGGTGGCTGAGGGCACAACTAGGTTTGAAACTGGGCCCTCTTTCAACTCAGTTCTTGGTAGTCTGCAGGTGTCTACAAGTAAAAATGCAATCTTAATGTCTTTTGGGGATCCTGTGTTCACATTGAACTCGCTACTGGCCTGAGAACGCTTGAAAAGGTCACTTGCGCTTGCAGGCTTCAAACGGATTGTGGGGATTCGGCACGTGCTGCGAACAAGAACACGCCTTGTTGGCAAGTTTTGGCGGCTTTGCAATGAATACTGTTGGATGGCAGGGCTGGCATCGAAGCATAGACGGCCACGCGCAAACACACGTGCAACATACTATCAGTCATCAACAGACTATGACTGTATTTGTGTGCTTCCGGTAGTCGGTTTGAAAGGTTGTTGTGCGACTTGCACTTACGCTTATGTAAGTCCTCCCTGTTGGAAGACGCTTCGGACACGAGATTTGTAGGAAACTTTGGGGCCTAGGTCTGTGCTGCCAGCATGGTGCGGTGGAGGAACTCATCCGGAAGGCAGATGCACAAAGAGGGATCTGTCACACCCAACTCTGTGGTCCCCTTACCTCCATCGCACGGCGTACATCTACTGCTTCCTTCGGCCGCGCTGTAGTATCCACGGGGACAGAGGGAACATCTCTCCGAACCATTGTTGGGAGCTTCCTGGCCCGGGTCGCATGGGCTGCAATCCAGGGACCCCGTCTTCCCACGGCTGGAGAAGCCCGGTGCGCACGGCTCACAGCTTACAGATGCCGCCTCCGACTGCGATGTGCCTACTGGGCAAGCCTCGCAGTTTGCCTGCTCTGCAAAGGGTTGAAAAGTGCCCGGGTCACAAGCTCGGCACGGTGCATCGCCACCCAGCGAAGCGGTTCCAGGCAAGCAGGGCACACAGAGGCCCTCTTCGTCGGCTTGGTTGCCCGGAGGGCACTGGATCTGCTTCAGCGGTGCTGGCGCAACCTCAAGAATCACAGGTGATACATCTGCCGGCTGGCCATTGATGTCCACCTGAATCACTTGAGTTCCAGAACCTTCCACCCGGTATTCCAGAGCATATTCCTGAGTATCTGTATCTCCCACATTGATGTTTTGAACATCTGTGGCTAGCCAGGCTCCATCGATGCTGGTGCGAAAGCTCACACTGGTAACCAGTGGCGCGTTGATGGCGTTCCGGCTTACATTCCCGATCTGATCCAAGAGAACCCACCGGAGCTTTTGTCCAGCAAATACACGACCTAGCGTCAGTGCCAAGAGCAGGGCGGGAGTCTCTCAAAAGCAAGGCTCCTATAAAGAGCTCTCATAAACTCCTGCGAATGATACCAGTGTTGGTGGTACCTGGGGGATGCCTCATCTAAAACCAACCAAAGCAGGACAAGTAGGCAAATCATGCTAAACCCAGCCTCCAACTAAAGAAGAAAATCTTGCCCAATTCTGATCCAGCAGGTGACCGCAAACAGACATGCGCTGACAGCTGCCTGCCACGAAGCTCTCGTTGTTGACCTGGCCAATGTGCGTATGTTCTGCATCACAGGTCCGGCTACAAGCGTCACGATGTCATCGAATCATGCACTGCCTGTGGTCTGTGTCATCTACGAACATCCATCTGCGACTTGCAGTGCTAGAACCAAAGCCAACCAGACATGCTTGAAGATTAGGCCGCATATGCATTGCCAAAACCATATCCTTACGATAACAAACCCAAAAAGTGCCCTCAACTTGGAGGAACTCCGACTACCAGAAGCTCTGGCAATCTCTCGTGCTGTCTTCAACCGTCGCCAGAACTTGCTGAGATACGGGCTGGCTCCATACTGTGAAGATTGGAACGCAGCGGGATGGTATCAAAACCATTTTGGGAAACTCCCATGGGATGTACGCACGCTGCTGCAATGCACGACGCACCATAGGCTGTGAAAAATGGAGATCCCAAAGCATGCCATCAGCGCTTCCCCGAGTATACACAGGTCTGAAAAAACTGGCTTTTGCTTCAAATTTCCAGTCTTGACACATCATAGCCTGAAGTGCATGAGGGAAAAACAAAACCACATAAAGGACTGGTCAACTTCAGGAGCATGTCTAAACAAGCATGTATCCTACAAATGCTGAATCTTGCCTTTTCAACGTCAATGCTGCCCTTCCAGGATGTGCTTGAGAGTGAGGCTCTCAGCACCTGATCGGATACTTCATGCTGCATGCAATATTGCTGAAATCAAAGCGAAGAGGAGCAAGCCCAGGCAAGAACCATGCAAACATATCGCAAATAGTTCACATATCATTCTTGCAAACAATAAACAATCGGCCCACCCAAACTTCAGTAAGCTTTTGGAAGCCTGAAGCATGCTCATACAAGACATGTGCTAGTACATCTGAGCATTGGCGCGTATTCTGGATCACGCAACTTGGCGCAAGGTTCGCAAAGGCAGCTGTACCCGTCGCGGCAGTCCTGTTGGGGGGAGGTCTCTGAACTTCTCCGGCCCCTGCACGCATAAGTTCTTGTAGAATTGAATCTCAGCCCGGCCTTCAGCTTGCTCTAGTGTCTCTGGGCCCCAAAAGCACGAGAGCGAGCTAGCACGCTATCCAGTTTCCGGTTGTATGAGTGTCCAGGAATAACTTACGTTGTGAAGTTCACATTCCGATGGAGCCCTGAAATGCTACTCAGTTCCGTCTTGAGCATTGGCTGCCTGGCTAAGCGTGGACGACACAATTTGAGCTGGATCTAGAAAGGGTCCTGATCGCTTTCTCAAAGCGTGATAGTTTCACGATATCATTGCCTGCCCCTGCTTCCACTGCTAGAGGGCTACCTCAGTACTGTAGCGGGCTTGGGCCAGGCAGAAATGTAACATCTGCTCATGACCTCCAAGACCTGGAGCAATCTGCCTGGACAGGTCCTGGAGGTTGCGAGAGTCGGCCAGGACTTCACTTTTTGCATGCATTAGTCAGTAATCTTTCCATACTTAGGATTTAGCGGCCCTGGAGTCTTCACGATGCAGATCAAAATCTACAGTTCAAAGCTTGCTGGTGTCGACCATGTACACATAAAGGGCTTTGGGCCTGTTGTCATACTCAATGCCAAAAATGCACTAATCATACTGAAGCTAAAACATGGTTGGCAATCCTTAAAGTGCAACAATAGCGGAGTCGGATGAAGCCTAAGGCTAGACCGTTGTACGGCGGCGGCTGTCAGGAAGTATCCTACGCCCAAGTCCTGGCAAAACACTTTGTCTCTGCCCTTCTTCACGTAGCCCCCGGGACAATTGATGGCTTCCTCAGCCATCAAGACCGTCAGCTGCTGATAGAGGGAGTGTCATTGGGGTCTGTGAGTGGTGTCTTTACATGATGAAGCCCTCTTGCTAGGACAAGGCATGGCCTCATGCTGACTTATACACACCAGACTTCAAGAATGTCATGTGAGCTATGTTCTAAACTCCTAGTATCCTCCTTAACCCCAATAATACTGCCCTATATAATCTCCGATATAACCCTCTTTAAAGAGGTAAGACTACAGCTCATATTCAGCCTCCAGGCATTGCCAAAACCTGCTTAGGCCCTAGACGGAAACCTGAACACTAAACCGCCTGTAGCTGCAAGTCTTGGGCCACCTGGGTCCCCCCCAAAAGGTTCAACATCTTTTGCAGTCACCTCAAAACAGGAATAGGGTTGAGGTAGAATTCAAGGAACACTTTCATGGTCTTGTTCGTCCCCGGTCTGGGGGAACCGGATCTATGCCAGTAGCGTTGGTAGATGCGCTTGCAAAGCCAGTAAGTAGAGCATCTGCGCCTGAGATACCCCTGATGGAGCTGGCCCAGCTCTCTGAAACAAAAAGAAATGGAAGATGCTTCCCACTGGTTTGAAACTGTCAGTGAAGTTTGAACACAGTTTCGAGTTTTCCTGAAAGTCTAAGATCCATCGATTGTGCCGCGAGACCAGCGCTGCCTAAATATGTGCAGCGCTGGGGATCATCTGATGAGAAAGCCAGACTGGGGGTCCCTACTAGAGAGGGATTCCGTAGGGCTAGTTTTGGCAAACTCTCAATGTTGGCAACCCTTCCACAAGCACATTCCCTGTCAGTAGCACAAAGTTGGCCTCCTTTGCAAATGCTCACCGAGAAGAAGACAATTCCACCGAAGAGAAATGTCAAAACTCAGCCCGGCCCTTGTAAAGATCTTTCACATTCCTGTATGAAGCCTTTTGAGCTGGCAATGTCAGATTGCTTTCCAGCAAGATGATGAAAAACAATCCGTTACATGTAGCAAACCAAATTTTGCGGAGCCCTTACTAAACCCAGCCTGATCTACAAATGAGGCATGCCACATATTCATCGGAACTCCTCAGGCACTTCTTCGTAGCTTGGTCATAGTACCTGAGCAGCCAGATTAGCTATGCCGCGGCTCTAGCCAAGACATGCGCCCACTGCACAACCATTAAATTACATCACAAGCCATCAGTTCACTGTGGGAAAGTGGCGGGCTCTTCCCGAGATGTCCTGAAGCGGCGAAAACCACGTGGCCACGCGGGCCGCTGGAAGTTCTGTTTCTGAGAATCGGCATTCTTTGCAGAAGACTGCGTAATTTTCAACAGGCAGAAACATCCCCCGAGCGTGCAGACACTAAGCCAAACACATGGTCTCAATCAAACTGCACATGCAGTGGACTTTGCATGCTGACACCACTGCCACAGTCGCAGCAACAACGACAACGACAGCAACTCTGTGGACAACGACCGCGAAAATGACCACGACAACAGCAGCAGCAGCGCCAACATCATCATCATCATCAGCATCATCATCATCATCACCATTCACCATGCGCACCATCACCACCACCACCACTACAACAACCACATCAAGCCCTACAACCACAACAACCAACGCCATCAGAAACCAAGAGCCAATAACCAGCATAAGAAAGAAGACAAAGGAGAAAGGAGAAAAACAAGGACGAAAACACCGAGATGATCATGTCGACCAGGGAAGACATTTCCAATCAAGACCGTGCAAACGTTGAAGCACATATCTTGATCAGTGAGTGCGCTCATCACTTTCACGACTGCAAAGGCTTTTGAGCTGAGATGCTTGATGCTCTGGAGAATGTCCAGCAGCCCAAAGTAATTCCTGAAGGCGGCTTCGGGTGTTTCCAATCCTATAGGGGTCGCTTTTTGGAGGTCCTCTGAATAATCATTACCATTTTGGGGGCTTATACTGCGGACCCAATCTTTGAGGCAAACTACTGTTTCATTTGCAGCTTGCAATCTAGCTACCTTTGGACTCCAGTTTCAACATGATTATACATGCGCTTACATGCATGAACACATGTCCGCGATTCGGGTATTGAGGGGAGGCTTACCAAGGACCGCTTAGGCAGGTAAGATTGAAAAAACAACACGAGCAAATAAGTCTTGCTAATGACTAACCACTGCTGTCAAGGGGTGCCATGGGGTGCCAATGTGAGTTCCGTGCACGGTGTCGCGAGAACTGATCCCAATTTCCGCCGGACTGCGATTCCGGCTGGCCCTGCATTGTTCCGCAACACTAAACCGTCAGCACGAATACATTGGGTGGATCTGGGCGCGTCCGCGCTCGCCTTGTGCCGCAGCTGAGGGAACGTGTGCGGCGACGGGACTCCTGTAACATTTGCGAATGACACTTAGTACAAATTGCATCCTGTATCTGGCCACACGAGCCGGGAAGCAGAGCAATGATGCACGTGCCGTGGGCGCATGCGTACATTTCGTGACGGATTCAGGCGCGCTATCCATGTAGCGGCAACTTTCGTTTGCTGCCTGTGCAAGATAGCCGGAAAAATTGTGCAACAACATTTAGTACTGCAGCTTCTGTGAAATAGAGTGTGGATGCGAAGATTTTTGCATGCGTGCACAACCGTGGCCTTCCTTCCTTCACAACATGTATGTGTGAGCGCGCAAACCTGGACAAGTGCTCAGAAACAAATGCATGTGTGCGGCTTCTGTAGGAAAGATCGGGAGTTCGAAAAGGTTTGTATACAGACACATACCTATGGTCGCACACCCACATGTGTGTCCAGCGTGCGTCCGCCCATATGAATGTATGCGGGCATGCAGGCAACTGTGCGTCCGCACATGTTTGTATGCGTATTGCACGCTGAAATATTGATATGGGCACGCACTCACGTTCACGCATTAGTGTGCCGAGGCTACTTTTCAAGGAGGATGAGAGCATTCATACCCGATACAGGACTCCAGTAGCCTCTGACGTGAAATCATCAGAGATGACTTCGAATCCTTCGAACTGCACGACGAATCCTCATGGATGTTTTGAGAAATGTACGGGAGTGCAACCTCAGTCAAGTCAGCGACTGCCACAAGGACCAGTGCAATGGGAGCTGTCAGCCAAGCCCATGCCTCACCTGCGCAACTGCTGCGTATGACACTTCCTGTCCTCCCTGCCTGAGAATGGTTGGCGCGGATGCTAGAGCTCGCGGGGGGCTGCCGGTACAAGGACAAAACATAGGACAACAAAAAACTCAGGCAGGCTGAAAATCAGGATCTGTTCAATGCTAGCGGTTACTTGAAATCCGCAATGTCCCTTGCCCTTGCTCGGGCAAATCTGTGACATACTGCTGGCAAACGCATGGCCCGGCTGTTCCGGTCACCTCACACGATTTGGAGCTTGGGCTGTGCAGCCTCTCCAATCTCAGGAAGAGCTTGAGATCACTCTGTGCAGTTCAGCATCATAGGCGTCGACCATCTCGCAAAGTTCCCTGACAGGTAGGTATGTGAGTTACATCCACATTCCCTCTTCATGATATTTTGCACACGGCCTACTCAGATGACAAAGGCATCTCATGGGAATCCTGATGATCATGCATCCGCATCACGGGGTCAAAGATCCAATAATGCCCGAAATGAGGGTCCTGAAGCCCTCAAGGAGGGGCAACTGCACTCTTGCTGGTGCTGGTCCCCCACACATAGAAAGCACACCCATGCTTCCATGGCAAGATCTTGCTTCCTCTTGGCAGGACAAACCTCATGCATCATAGTCGCAAAAATAGTGTTGATGATCATGAGAACAGCTGCCAAGAACATTGCTGGCAATAACTGCCTGCAATTGCCGGCTCAGAAAGCGCCGTGTCCGGCGAGAAGCGATCCAAAGTCATCAGGGAGCTTGCGACCAGCTCCTTGACCTCGACAGCCAGAAGCTAACGCACTGTCACTGTCAGCTGAGGTCCCCCAGGCTGAGCATGGAAATTTGTACATTTGAACGCCGCACGTTTCCTTCAAGTACGCGATTCTTGTGCATCATTTTCATTGTGAACTCGTACCGCCTCAGAGTTGAACCTGGAGCCTGCCCTGTAACATACTTGCTGGTTTCTGTCTCGCTCCCAGCGCGGGCTCTCATCCATACGTCGGAAAACTGCAGGGAAGTCCCCCCTCCCCCATAATACACTCCCCCATAGGGATATGAAGGAGGAATGGAGCAAGAAAACGGAAACAACAATATTGTTTAGGGTTCCAGGTTTAGGTGTGTAAAAAGCTCCCCAGCCAGCAAAAAATCATTCCACCTAATATAACATGACTCTATAATGGGAGTACTTCTTGCTAGGGTGCTCTGGTTTGTTACTAGCGGAGGGGACTACAGTCTAATTGTGACCGTTGGAAGAAGCGGGTACTTAAGGGGCCGGGTAGAAGTCCAAGGAGAAGCAGGTTTAAATTGCAATGAACCTCTAGGTGCTCACCAAAAAGAAACAAGATCCCATCGCTTACAGCAGGGTTCCCTCATTCAGGGGAAGACAGAAGGCAAGCGAAGTCTCGAAAGCAAAAGAGAAGGGGCTCATGGTGCATTGGATACAATCCTCTTCTATACTTCAGAGGGATATTCATTTTGCCTTCTGTTTCATGTGCTGAGTGCTGTGTAAGGGGTAGCATCAGGAAGAGATTTCAAGAATGATCTGACATGTTAAATTCTGGTCCTGGTTTGAGCTGGAGTCTTTTCCTGGACCAGAGCCTACCTCGACCTCCCAATTACGGGGGAGTGGATCCCGCCTGTTATCCCTGTATAATATCCACACATACACACACCTATACTATACTGTACATATATATATATATATCACTCCCCACTCCCCCTGAAGCCCCCATAGGATTGGTTTTTACAGTGACAATCCCTCGCCCAAACTGATGGGCTTACCATCCTGACATCTGGCTCCCTTGCTAAACTCTCGTACGTCCCTTATGGGAACCTTCGTAGGCAGCTATCCTTGGACAATATGGTTTAGCACCGAAGCCTTACGATTTGATGAAATCTGGCGCTGCTTGGGGATCAGCTGAGCTCTTGGGCGGCTCAAGTGTCAGGGTAATTCTGTATCGTGCACGCCTAGCAGAAGTAGCTCTACTGTTCACCACGCGCCTCGTCGGTCACATGCGGCAATGCACCGATCGGCCACTCAGGCGTAAAAGCAGTGGAGCGAGCGAAGGGAAAATCTGGATCCTGAGGGAAGAATTCACTAATGATTTGTTCTGGTCCTTCGTGCTTATATTACCTCTAGTCACATCCCATTCTAATCGTATCAGATTCGCAGTGCCGGGCTTGTTGCGGCTGCTTGTGGGACTAGTGCTACGAACATTGGTGAAGCTGACAACATCAGCAATCCCTGCCAAAGCCACTCTCAGCGCCGCCGCCGCTACGCCCACCACCGTACGGTAATGCAGGGGCCAGAAGATATGATACCCTCACCTCACAGTAATACTCATCTAGTGTCTTTATGGCCCAAGGTCATGCAATGTATCTCCGCCAAGGACCGGGAAATCCACTCCCAGCCACCGCCTCCACGATCATATCCACCACCAGATTTTGGACAAACGGCTACATGACAGCAGCTTTGGCTTGGGGATAAACATCTCAGACTTTGTCGGGGGAAGGTGCTGACAAATCTGTCTTTGTACTTTGTCACGAACTGCTTACGAAACTTGCTTTGTATGTCCACATCGCAAAATTGGACATCCGAAAGGCAGCAATGCATTATGGGGTTTCCAGGGAAGTTGCACATCTCGTTTTCACCACGTTCTGTTCAGCCAGCACTCCACGCACATTCAATGTCCAAATCTTCCACCGGTGGAGCACCAAAGATCGTGAAAACATATGCTCCCACAGCGCCACCCCTAAATGCTGAACCTTAAACCCTCAAATCAAATAAACTTACTGAATCCAGCTGGAAAGGTCGGACTCGTTCCTACGAGTCTGTACTCTTATGATCATTATTACTGTCATTACTATTGTCGTTATTGCTAGTACTACTGATATCGCTTCAAGCATACCATGGTAGGGAAGATAAGCTGCCACTGATGGAAAAGCATTGCAGCCAAGCCGTCCAGACGGCTTTGGAGCATTGCAGCATGCTTAGGAAGCTCCAAATGGGTGTTTCCAACATGAAAGTCCGCGTGTATACTCCAAAGCTGCTACCATCGTTAACTAGAGAGACTTACCAGTAAAGGCCTCTAATTAGACTCTGAATTTTGAAGCCCCCATATGCAACAGCAAGCCCTCGGAACCTAGAAGCAACCTGAGGCCTCCTATGACCTGCGCTTTCAAAGATGTCGTCGGGAGGCTTAAGGTTTAAGGTTTAGGCTCTACATGAAATGACTAGGGTGAGCAGGAATTAACATCAACATGTGACATGTACATGATAAGGCCAGGATGAAGACAAATGGCATTTCGACCTCTTGACCTGTCCCAACTCCGCAGAAGCAGCGCAGTCTTCCATGCATCGTGCCATCGCAGACAAGCAGCGGGAATCTCACCGATTACACGGAAATATTCCCACCTTGCATTCCGCTAGAGCACGCTGAAAAATAGACTGCGGTTTCCAGTCATGGGTGCCCATATCAATGTGCCAGCAAAAGAACATGCTATCTGGACCAGAAGCAGACCAACAAATTACTCGCGAACCGTGTTTCGGAACCTTCTGACTTCTCTAAAACCGGCTGACGTACCCAGCGCACAGCGTAGACTACTTGACGAGGAATAGGCTTTTTGAGTACTTGAGTCCCCCTAGTACTAACAGCCCGCGCCCAAATGAAACAAGGTCAGCCAGAATCTCAATGTTCAAGAAACGGTGTTTTGACTAGATCCTCAGGAACGTTTTTCCTACCTGGCTCGGTAATGGGAGGGGTCTCTTGTAATTAATGGAGGCTCCAGACAGGGCTTTGGAAGTAAGGAACTCCAGCCGCCCTGGCTCCACACAAGTCAGTGGCTTCACCTACCCAACGCCATGTGCACGTGCACATTTATTGACAAGATGCAGCTGCAGCAAACACATGGTAGAGCATTGCAATTGCCTTTTCTTGATCTATCTTGCATCCCCAGTTGCTTGGTGACGTTGTTTGTAACAAGCCGGTCGATCAGATCGGTTCTCACGAAGCCAACGTCAGCCAGCCCGGCTTCTACGTCCTGGCAAGAACTTCTTGTTTTGTGCGGGTGCCTTACAATGCGGTACGCTGTGCTTGAAAGGGTGGTGCAATTAAGGGCCCATGTGACCAAATGAGCAGCCCCTGATGCACCTGAAATTTCACAATGAATTGGGCTTACTGTTTGGGAGGGCATTAAGCCCGTTATGCACAATAAGAATTTGCTCAAAAAATGGGGTCCCTTCTTGGAAGTGCCCCTGATAATGAGCATAATATAGTTGGTAAACGGGGAAGCAACATTTCTGGAAGCTCCCATGTCATAGCAGCGCGAGCTTTGAGGATCTTGTTGCTATGCCTCAGTGCCTTCTGCCTGTAACACGACAACTGGGACCTGGGGCGCATCCCGGCAAAATCCTTCTGACGAATGTCTCAGCAGGTTACTGTAGCAGCACAGGCTCACAATATGATGCACGGGCTTCGGCCGTCTAGAGCACGTCAGGACATGCCCCCGCACGGGTTACAAGGCAGGGTGCTTGTTTGGTGGCTAGGCCACAGGGTTGAGGATTGATGGGAGCAAGACCGACGGATTCACAGAACTGACCCTCACTGACTTCCCAGAATGTTGCGCACTGAAGCGCTTCGCGCACTTGGACATTCTCTGGGGCTTCCAAGGCAGCTACAGCTCAGGGTCTGCAAAGCCTAATGCACCACTCATTGGCAGCTCCCCTGCCTGAACAATCGTGTTCTGATTGAAAGCGAATGTGAGACGCGGGACATCTGTCATCACGTTCAAGCCTTGCGACAAAAGTTCCTGAGTTCAGAAGTGTGACGGATTTGGTGTGAATACAACCTGCAACTGGGTGCTATTGTGAAATTTTGCTTCGAGCCCGCAGATCGGTAAGACATGACTCAAAAATCCTTTTTCAGTCAACATACCTACGACTAGCGACTCTCCGAGCTCTTCAGACCTTTGAGGAACGCGACAGCATGGCGCAGAAACAAACCTCATGAACTTTAAGCCGGGTTGCTGCCTGCTGAAGCTGCATTGCACCTTGGGATCTGAGGGTTTAGAGCATCTGGGTCTGTCTGCAGATTCAAGTCAAGAGGATCGCACTCGTTCCGCGTTTAAATGACCCAGCGTTCTAAATCTGCTTTTAAGTAAGTACAGTGCCCAGGAGATGCCTTAGACTTCCTGCTCTACTACTTGATTCACTCAGAAGCCTGTTTCCATTCCATTTTCCGTGCGATTCGCCATTGTTGTAATCCTAGCCCCTCGGTCTGCTGTTACTGCTCCATCTCCTCAAAAAATTGCCGTTCCACTCATCCTTTCACACGTGTCTGCGCGTGGGATTTAGCAACAGGGATCTTATATAGAGACTCCAATAGAAAGGCCCCGAAAAGCAGCATGGCGCTGTGAATAGACGCTACTCTTGTTTCGCACACCCGCATTTTTGTCCAGAGCCCGTGGACCCTGAGGTAGTCGTGGGAATTGATGAGTCGGTTTGCATTTACGGTCCGGCGCACGGTTGTTTTCAAGTATGCACATAGGCTACAGCTACATGTCAGGTTCCACATGTACATAAAGGAGTATTTTGCTAGCTGTGCAATTGGAAGAGGGGGCTCTAGCGTCAGTGCTTGCATGCAAAGCACCAGGGGTCAATGCTTTGGACTGAGGTGTCCGAGCTTTGAGGTTTACGGGCTAGAATTTGCGTCTTGGCATGTGCAGTCATCCGCACCAGCACTCGTCAATCTAAAGCAAGCAGAATTCCTAAAGTTGGTCTGCAACTCTCACTTGATTCATCATATTATTTCAAATGACAAAAGACCCTAAAAATGAGGCCTCCACCCATGCAGGTAGCCCAACATCCCAGGGCTTTTAATATGCACAAGGACTAATGCGAAGCACCTCTACATGGAGTCGCAGCCGAATTCCTGAGTTGGGATTCTAGTCAAGCCTGGACACCCAGTCCAGATATCGAAACGGCCTGATTGAGATTTGCGCAAGGTTGTTCCAGAAATGGTACAACAGTCAGCTGTAATGTACCAAGACAACTAATAATGGTGATAGCGACAACAATACTGGTCATTGTCCAGACCAGCTATGACAGGTAGCAACATATAAAGCGCAACTTCTGGTAGCAATAGAGTAATGGTAGTAGTTCCTGTAATACTAATAGTTCTAATCATAATAAGAAGTGTATGAATAGTTACAATCGTGATGCGCATAATGACAGTCACCAACAGTAATAGTCGTAAAGGTCCATGTAGAATGGAAGTCACCGAGCGCAGCTTGACCTGCGAAAGGACTTGGAACCTGGCTCCCACCAACTAACTGGGCTGCGGAAGATTTCACCTCACAAAGGGCCTCTACTCTGGCTGTGCGCAGATCGTCGACTGTCTGGAAAGCTGAGTCGTTCCTGCACGGCGGGGGTCGAGGCGTTTCATAAGGACCGTGTAGATTTGCGCATAAAATTTGCTGCCATGAATGGAAGGCGGATTAAAACATGAAGGTCACGGGTAATCATTTGTCAGGATATTGGGTAACAGAATCCACGTGCAACATGCCCGAGGCCAAAAGGCAGTAGGATCATGTGCGCCCACTGCACCGCCTCAATGCTACCCTTTCGTTCATAGCTCCCCAGATGGCACTGGCTTCCTTCTGCGGGCTCTGACATGCAAATACCAATAAGTTTACCATAAAAAAGCTTACTACCTGCAGTGTTCAGGGATCTCTAAAGTATACAACTCGAGGGCTTGTCATTGTCCCATCATTAACTCCTGTACGTAGGGCACCGCAGTGCAGACCCGGCATGATATACTGCATGGTCCTGATATCATAGGGGCTCCAAAAAGCGACCCCATTTTTTCAGAGACACCCCAACATCTACAAGGGGTAATGCTTCCATACCCATTCCAACAAGTCATCCATCCTGCAGTACGATCATGCAAAGTACTAGCACGTCAATAGTTTTCCAGGGTTTCTTAGGCACGACAGTTGTGAACTTAAACAAGCAAGCCCATCAGACCCCTGTGCATACTCTGCGCATACTGAAGGGGCGCAAGTAATTGCCAATATCATTTTGACGGGCTATTTGCGGTACACTATACCAAAGGTAGGCAAGGAACCTAGGACCATAATATCGGTAATCATTGGGGCTTCTACATTCGCCCCCATGCGCGCCTCGTGAAAATCACACCTCAGTCCACTGCAGCTTCTCTGAGGATACCCGTGGCATTCCGAGGGCTTATAAGACAGTAGTTTCCATTTTCTTTTCCATTATCCCTAGTATAATATAGCGGCTTCCATTTTCTTTTCCATTATCCCTTTTATAATAATAATTTCCATGTTCTCTTGCATTATGCCTATTATACTCCCCAATATCATATAGTTCTGGCTTTCAGGGCCTTCCGCTATCATGGTTTGTGTTAATAATTTCCATTTTTTCCATTATTCATACTACTACTACTACTACTACTACTATTAACATTATAGTACACAAAGCCTCGGGGGGAGAATGTCTTACCAGGGCTTCTCTGAGTCCAAATGCAAATACGTAGAGGTGCAGCAGGTCCGTCTGGTTCTGGGATCACGCTAGAGGCATACAAGGATTTGAGCCTCACAGTCTTCAGCCCTTCCTCCATCTTCTGGTCTCTGAGGCTACTTTGATTTACAGTGGACTGCACCAAAGGTTTCAATAGGTCTGCTTGCTGGCTGGCCACCTGCAAATCGGCCTAGCGCGTTGCCTTTGCGATAGTTGATGAGAGACGCAACAGTCTGCAGGTTGAACTCCACCGCCATGCAAGTGTAGGCTGCTGGGTTGCCTGCCCAAAGCACAACTTTCGCTTGCAGCATTATCAATACAAGCCACGGTGGCATCACCAGGCAGTCCAACTCCTTCTCCATGGAAAGAACATGATCGCGTGGCAGATGCATGGCTGAGGGCGCATCGGTCTCAAGGCTACTAGACATGCATTCAACGAGATGTATGAAGCAAGTGGGTGCTAGAAGCTGGCACCCGGAGTATGTATAAAGCTGCAAAGTTTCTCCATGGTTCCATAATAAGCTGGCCAGGTGCTGTATATCATGTCCACACGGCCCCCACCGACGAACTCGAAATTCCTTAGTAGAGCCAGGTGAAGGCAACCGTCCGGGAATTCAGGCCAGAAAGCAGGGAGAGCACGCAGATCCTGCAAACAAGGGTCTGGTTGAAATCCAGCGGTATGGCTTCGAATTCTAGCCCATGAGAGGCATTGAGCCGTCGCGTCAAGAAGTCCTGGCGCTGGCAAAGGCGGTTGCGTCAAGACGGCATGCAAATAAGGAAGGTGCCGGGTGACATGTGCATGTGATAGCAGAGGCATCTTTGAAGGAACCTGTTCAAGCCCTCAATGGCTGAAAACGACGGTTCGCATTTGGACCGCAAAGACACAATCGAAATCTGCGCGACTAAGTAACATATCTTGTGCGGCAATGCTTTCGCATATGATGGCGTTGAACTCATTGTTGAGGACTATGGCACACCATGGGCGTTTCTCTTCCATCCAAATTTGTCTGAGAAACGGCTGGATGATGCGAACTTGCCTTTTTCATCTTTTTCGGGATTCAATGCAGGCACAAGTCACAAAAAGAAAAGGCTACTGCGAGATCGCGCATGCAAAATCAAAAGTACTTGAGTTGTGCCCCTAAGCTTGTACCCCTAAATAGGCTTCTCCGTATAATCCCCGCTTAGCCCGACATTCCCAATAGAGTTAAACTAAGATGTCCGGCAGACTCAGGGGTACAAGCCCAGGGGTGCAACCCTGAAACCCTTGTGATAAGTGCGGTCAAGGCCAACTAACAAGAACCACGGTCCTCCAAGAACTCAACGGCTTCACTCATCCTACCGAACTATTCCAAACACATCATAGCTCCATACGAGAACCTGACCAGCGCTACTTGGAGGACAAATGCAATCAATGGGTATTTAGAGGCTGCACTGAGCTTGATTGAGCCCAATCATTGCCAAAGCAAGGGCTATGCGTCGGGACTTATGGTTCCCACATGCTCTTGGCAGAGCGAATAATAGGTATTCACGAAAAAACTGAAGTAGACTCCAGTGAATCGACACCAGGTAAAGGGCACAAAAATGTGCAAACAGGCCTACCTCCTAAAAGCCTTAAAAGCATCAGAGCTCTAAACACCACACCCAAACAACTCCAAAGCCCTAACAACTGGATATTGCCAGCACTCAGTAACAGAGGGAGAAGAAGTATAATATGAAAACACTAATAATATACCTGGCCCTTAATATTGTCGCTGTTCTAGACTGCCACTGGGTGGTGGCAGTATCCAAAATTAAAGCTCTGAACCCTCAAACCTTAAGCAAAGTAATCGCCTGGAATGTTGGGCCAAAAGATCTTTCGAAAGCTGCAGCACCCTGGATGGCCAGGCCACCAATCCTTTTGTCTTGCGTGGAGGTTGGGTTTAAGGTGTTTAAGGTTAAGGGCCATGGATAGTCGGGTAGTCATAAGTGGGGTTATACAGGAACTTTATGGGTATACATTTGGGGTTTAGGGCTGTATGGGATGTGTAGGAACCTGTGTGAGGCAGTGTGTGTTCTATATTGTTGTGGTGAGTGTATACAGTGGCCCATGGATAGGCTGTTGTATACAGTGGCCCATGGATAGGCTGTTGCTACAGGCTACATTACTCCTACTTTTACCATGACTAGTACTGGTAGAAAACGCACGGGTCAAGCTTTGTTGTGACATCCTGCTCCAAGATTCCTCGAACTCTTGGACATGCGAATCCGACTGTTCTGAAGGGACTGTGGTCTTCTTGCATGAGTGACTAAGCATCGCCAGCTTTGATAATGTAGCTTTCCAACAGGGGTCCCAAGGAGCCTGTCCTGGTCCTGAGCATGGGATTCTTAATAATATGAAAGATGGAAGTTTCAAGGTGCAGAATCCTGAAACGCCGAAACTGGAACTGCCATATGCCATGCCTGCCTGCAGTACAGTACCCACACAGCCAGCTGCCAGACCTGTCCTCCAAACGCGGGTTTCAAGTTGCAGCCTCCCTTGAAGTACCTTTTTGCCTTGAACAACTCTTCAGCTAAAGAAAAAATTCAACGAGGCCCGCAAAGCACACCAGGAACGTTCTTCGAGTCAGCAACTCTCCAAAAAAGTTGTCAGTGTTGCGGTCCGTCAGGGGCACGGGACTGCGCGCCGCTTGGGAGAGATCCCAAAACACGCGGCGACACCAAACTCCTAGCGAGAGCAGCAGTCGACCGAAGTGCACCGCCTGCATTAGAGACAGCGGTGTTCGATCCTTCTACAATGATCGTTGGACCTCAAATATCTATCTATCATCATCTATCTCTCATTTTTCCTGGAATCTTGCGGGATCTGGTGCCAAGGTTCTGTACTATGCAATCACGCCATCCAGCCGAGCTTGCAGCAATCTCCCTGCAAAGCGGCTTCGCCTAAGGATGCGCTTCCACAACTTGTCGCAACTTGAAGCCTACTCAAGATTGTTGTGCAGGTGCCAGAGCCTTTCGGGGCTAGCAAGACATATCAAGATGAACTGTGAACTGAATTTGAAGAATTCCAGGGAAGTTGAGCTTCAGCATGGAATCCAAAGAGAAAAATTGAGTACAAGTAGGCTCCGTTGGCAGGACCCTTCAATATGATCGTTGCACCGTTGCACGGCGTCGCTGTAGCTAAAAATGACACATCGTGGCTTAGGCAACATTGGCAAAAATGATTAATCCTTGAAGTGTGGAGACCCTTGAGGCTCTAACACGATTGCAATAAGGGCGAAGGGGCCTAAAGCAGGCGATCCAACATGAGGATTGTTTGGGAACCTTTACCTTCAAGTACTCTGTACACACAATTAGTGCTGGCCAGGGCACGCCAAGTGTTGCTGAAATGAAGGATACAATCAGCGGAACTAGCATACAAGGCATCCCGAGCATCTCCCGCAAGCCAGACCCCCACCGGGATTTGAAAGTCAGGAGACCCAGAAGTCCAATAATCCAAGCGCATAGAACTGAGTTTTGGCGACTGCCTAATGACAATAACGAAGGCAAAGTCATACTTCTGCAAATGCTCCTCTTGACACCACCACCACCACGACTACTACTACTAGTACTGCTGCTTTTACGAACTCTTCTTCTGCTACAACGACAACGGCTACTACCACCAGTACTGCCACCATTACGGCTTCTAGTAGTAGTACAGTGGCAGTAGTACTAGTACTGGTACTTGTAGTGCTGCTGCTACTACTACCACTACACTACCACTACCACTACCACTACCACTACCACTACCACTACCACTACTACTACTACTACTACTACTACCACTACTATACTGCTACTAGTATACTGCTACCACTATACTGCTACTACGACAACCTGCTGCAGCAGCTGCTGCTTCT